CACAGATGGGTTGAAAGTTTTAAAATGGACTTTTTACTGTTCAAGCTAATTTGGGTGCTGTGACAGTACAGCTGTTGGTGGATCTGTAAGGATTTTACATTAAACATTTGGCATGTAAAGTTGTATTCATTACTGTTGCTGGATAAGAATGTCCCAAGTGTCAGTATAGAATTTCAAAAGTCAAAAAGACTGGGCCAGGAGAGAAATGGGGGACAGTTAGAGAATTCCCACCATCTAGTTTTTAGTTATTTAATTTTTATAAATTTATCTAACTTAATTTCTCTGAGATCCAAGAAGATCACCAGTGTTCTCATTACATTTGGCAGGTTTGAAATGTGCAAGCCTACTTCCCCTGAAGTTGAGGTTACCCAGGTTGCCAGCTTTTTTTTTAATCTTACCCAAGGATATGTTTTTATTGATTTTTAGAGAGGAAGGGGAAGAGAGAGAAACATCTATCAATTGCCTTCTGTATGCGCCCCAAGGGCGATCTAACTTGCAATCTAGGTAATGTGCCCTAACCTGAATCAAGCCCACAATCTTTTTGGTGTACAGGATGATGCTCCAAACAACTGAGCCACCCACCCAGAGCCAGGTTGCCAGCTTTTATAAAGGGAAAAGTTATTGGGTTGTTCCATTCTAGGGATTAGTATGTCATCAGCAAGCCCCGGCTTTGGCACTCTATTGCTTTCAGAATTATATATTGAAGAAAGTTTCTTTAAGAGATGAATTATATTAAAGAAATTTATTGGAAATACTATGTTTTATACTTTAAATCTTTTATTTCTCTGTAGGACTTTAATGTATACAAGAATATTTTTATCAAATGTTAGCATCTAAAAAGTTAGCACTTTCAGTTGTATTTTGAGTTTATATATACTTTTGTTAGCATGACATAATAATTCTTAACTAAAACTTTATTTTAGAAAAAGAACAAAAGTAGTGCTTTCTGGCACTTGAATTTCTTTTAACAGAGATTTCTGTTAACAGTAAACCCTTTTTGTCTCTACTGTACTTTTATGGTACTTAGGGCTGAAAAAATTAAGCTCTCTATGCTGACAGGACATTATATAACAAATAGAACAAATGACTTTCAAGTGAAAATAAAAATTAAATTAGAAAAGGTAAAGAACCATGTCTATTTAATTTTGTAAAAATGTTTTTAGTACAGTAGGGTGTTTGCCCCTTTTAAATTCCTAATTTATACTGTTTCTTTAGAAAGGAAAGCCTTTCATTTCTGTATACTGACAAGCTTTCTGAAAGCATTTGCATAATTTTAAAGCGTGGTCATATGGCTCATATGATTCCCATTAGTTCTCTTTTTGTAAATATGGAATTGGTCTGTGGTTAGTTTTACTAGTAGATTTAGAAAATCTAGGTTCTGTTTCTTTGAGTAATAAAATCTCAAATCTACGCCAGATTGATCTACTTGGACATGTTAGCTTTTTCCTAATGCATTTCTTTTTGCTTAAGAATGTTTTGTACAAGTGGTACATCTTCTCAGTAACTGACCAGGAGGCACATGAACAAAGAAACATTTTCAGTGACGAAAATTGTTTCAGTTGTCGTTTTCCACCCCTCTGTGAAAATGAAGTGTTTTTATAATCTTGATGTCACTACCCATCTTTTAACACTAGTCTATAGTTTTTATGCACCTAGTCACATATAGTTAAGTGCCTTGTAAGCATTTCTCAATTACGGTGATTGTACAAACCTTCAAATATACTTCATCTATATATGCAACAGGCTTTGTTTTTTATAATATTTCTAGTACCATACAACAGGAATTAAATATTCTCACATCTGCACAGTATTTCACCTTTGAATGTTACATTAATGTGGAAGGGAGTGAGGATAAAAATCAAGTCTATTAAAACAAACAAACTAAATCACAAAGATTCTGTGGTTCATTAACTGAACTATTAACAAATTGATTTTTAGGTTCAAGTGGATTTTAAAATAATTGCTTCCTTAAAATATAAATAAAAAATTACTGATCTATAACTAGCAATATCTAACAGGAGAAATGTTGACTGTAAGGTTATCTACAGATTTGCCAAATATCAAGTCTGTGTCCGGCTGTACTCTGTGTAGTCTGTCTCATGCTTAAGAGGTGGCACAGCATATGTTTTTACTAGTGACCTTTTTTCATTATTCTATCACTAATAAGTCTCATTATTTTATTGTTAATAACTCACTTAAAAGTAGAGCTTCCAATTTGTTAGAAGTCTTTTAACAACTTGAACAGAGTTGTGAAAAAGATACTGTATTTCTGTGGGAAGGCTTGTATTATACTTTAGTAATCGAAAGCATCTTGTGGAATGTATACTGTGGTATCTTCTCAGGAAAACTGAATTAGATATTTAAAATGTTATTTATTACATTCTCAATTTGCACATTAGTTGTTAGCTGTCATAGCCACAAATTTGGTGAGAGTAAATAACCTTAGTATTGTAACGATAGGGATTATAAATCTCTTGCACATACAAAACTGCTGTGCTCTATTTTTTTATTCTATTTATAGAGACCTTAAAAATGGTGATTGCGTAATTGTCTTTAACTGATAGATTTAGATATCGTTTGGCTTTCTGAGTAAAAGTAAAGCATATATTTAATAAACATTAAACTAATATTTTGCTTCACTGACTTTTTTTTTTTTTAATATGTTTTTATTTCAGAGAGAGGAAGGGAATGGGAGAGAGAGAGAGAGATAGAAACATCAATGATGAGGGAGAGTCACTGATCAGCTGCCTCCTGCACAACCCCCTATGAGGGATGAAGCCGGCAACCCGGGCATGTGCCCTGACTGGAAATCGGACCATGACCTCCTGGTTCATGTGTTGACATTCAACCACCGAGCCACACCGGCCAGGCTTTGCTGACTTTTAATTAAAAATTATATAAACATTTAGAATAATGTTTGTCAAATATAACTCATTTTTTTTAAGTTAATAAAATGAAAAGGCAAAATAGCAAACCTTATTTAAAATTTACTTTGAAGCTCAGTGTTTTTGCTTTCTTAGTTGTCTACCACCTCCCTCCCTTCTCCCTCCCTTCTCTGTTCAAATGGAGAGGATATAAGGAGAGTACAGATGCGGCAGGTCTTAAACGAAAGCGTTCCCAAGGTACAGTAATAATCGTAGTTTTATTTCTCCATGTAGTTATAGTCCTGGCTTATAGCATTTACTTATATTTAGAGCAGTCAGTTGTATTTAAAGCATAGAAATTATTAGTTTTAGTATTTAAAGCATAGAAATGTATGCATTGTGCTATTTTATTTATTAATTATAAGTGGTATAAACATTTGTAAATGATGTGTATAGTCCAATAATGGTATATTCGCCAATATTAAGAATGAACTTTTATTGGCCTAACACTATTCTCTTAATATCTTGATTTTGTAGTTTCAGTGTTTTAATCATGTGTTGCCCAAAACTATTTTAACAAAAATGTGGTTTAGAAACATTGGACAAAAAGGCTTAAAAATAGTGACTTGGATTGGACATAGAATTAGAAAAGTAAATAATTGTTAAACTTATGCAAATGATTTTTTTAATTTATGAAAAGTTTTTTATTTAAAAAGCTGAGTTTGTACATTGTTTTCTTTGGAACTGAAAATATTATTATTAATGTTTGTTATGTTAATTGCATCTTGGTCTTGTGTTCAATGTTAGTAATGTGTCCTGGCAGGTAAGTTAAATATAAATTGGTTTCTCATAAATTTTTTAATTACATTTGTAACATAACTAGTAAGTACATTTTCCTGGAATGAATTTACTTTTTTATGTATTCTAGTAGGAAATAGGTTTACATAAAAATGTCTTAGGATCATAGATCTTGACCAAGGCCATATCGTTTCATATTTACCTTGAGGTTATTTTCAGCCCATCTTCAAATCAAAAGAGTTAGACTGTGCTAGTAACTAGCTTTGTGTCAAGTCACTTAATCTCCTTGTACCTTTGTGTCTTTATATATAATGGAAGATAATGTTTTGCTTAAAGAGGATTTTAAGAAAATAAATCAGGCATAATGATTTGAAGGTGCCTGGTTTTCTGAAGATGCATATGTGGATTTTTCTTTCTTCTATACCATAGAGAGGAAACATTTAAGTTCTTAAAAATATAAGAATTACCAAATTATGAATTGGTGACGTAATGACAATTTTCTCGATTTGTTGTTTCCACAAACATTACTAAATTTGTGATGCATGTCAGGCACTGTGTTAGGACACTGTGTTTGGTGCTAGTTATACAAAATGATTAAGACATAGTCCCTACCTTACAGAGCTTATGTATTTCTGGAGTATTTAGATTTGACTTTTTTAAAACTCATTTTTACCAAGTATATGGTAGTTACAGAAATGCAATAACTATACTGATTTGAACATCATAATGGAAAAAAAATTTTTTGATTTCTTATTAAAACATCTTTCAACTTTGAGTTTCTGTTATGGTGAGCAATATCCAGTGATAATGGGCTTTAATATCCATTCCAGAAACACCTTATACTCTAATAAATTAGATTATTTTCTTCCCAGTTTAAAGGTAATTTTTTCCCATATGAGTCTTGTTTTATTTTGCACTGAGTGAAATTTTCACAGATCCAAAAATAAAATCAACAGAACAAATGGAACTTAAGTTTCTGTGTCAAAACTATTGAGGACTTTCATGAAGGTATATGTCTTTTAGGCCTAAGGAATGACATCACCTGGGAAGGCAGTACTTTAATCATCAAAACACATTAACTACATGTTAGAGGTTAAATTATGGCAGTTAAGCTATTTATTCTGTGTTGTTACAAGTTGTCATTCATATAGCATGGTTAATCATTTATAAAATAAAGTCCCTATCCATTACTTGCTTCGCATCAATATGTGTTTCAATGAAATAGTTTTTTATTGAACTAAGTCCAAATGTGGATTCAAAAATCTGTGTATTATAATTTTTTACACAAATGTGGTTTGTCTTGGAGTCCTTCAAATTAGTTTTTCCTTTTTGCAACAGCTGTTCATAGTTTCAAGTTGAGTCGAAACCATGTGGACTGGCACAGTATGGATGAAGTATATCTTTATAGTGATGCAACAACATCTAAAATTGCAAGAACAGTTACCCAAAAACTGGGATTTTCTAAAGGTAAATTGTTAAATATTACTTTCAGTTGTCAAAACTTGGGGAATCTTTTTCTCTTATGTTTAGAATAGGCTATTCAAATTCTATTTTTAGCATATTTTAAATATGTATTATATTTAATGACAGTTACTGCCCTGTTAAATGAAACTTTGATTAAGGTGATTGAGTTGACATGTATTCATCAGTGAGTAATTATATATTTAGAATGATCTGACAAGATTTATAAATGTCTTTTATACTTCTAAAAGCATAAAAGCAGTCAAACACAAGGTACTGGTGTGGAAATAAAACATAGTGATGGCAACATAATATTAAGGAAGATGAAGACTGAAAATTTTCATTGGATTTAATGAAATAGAAGTCATTGGTGATTTAGATGGATTGATGGGGCAAAAGCCAAAGTGGCATGGGTTGAAGCTTAGGTACAAGATGAGGAAGTGGAGGCAGGGCTAATAGACAACTCTTTAAAGACTAAAGGAAAGAAAAGGGAATGGTACCTGAGGAAGATATGATAGCATTATCAAAAAATAAATTTAAAAAAAATTTCCCCCAAATCTGATACAATTTTATTATCCCATTTTTTGTTTTAATTTCTTTGATAACAAATTTGCTTGAATATCTTTCTATATGTTCATTAGTCATTTGTATTTGTTCTGTGAATTACCTTATATCTTTTTCCTGTTTTGCTACTTGAATGGTTGTCCTTTCATTTTTGATAAGTAAACTCTCTTTGTATACTCAGGTAATTAACTTACTGTGCATAATATTTTGTAAAATTTTTCCCAGTTTGTTATTCATCTTTTATTTTTGCTTCCTGGTATTTTTTTTTATAGAGAAGTTTAAAATTTTTATGTGTTCAATTCTTCCTTCTTTCCTTCCTTTTTTCCTTTCATCCTTTTATTTTTCCTTATGGTTTCTGGCTTTGGTGTCCTGTCCAATTTAGCACTTCATATCAGAGCCAATCAATATACATCATTTTACAAATTTTATGCCTTCCCAACCCAGTGAAATTTTTTAGTAATATTTTCTTTATTTTTTTTCCAATGTATTATGAGAATGCTATTTTTTGGAATAAACTGTAAACTTAGAGTCATAATATTTTTACAGCATCAAGTAGTGGGACCAGACTTCATAGAGGTTATGTAGAAGAAGCCACGTTAGAAGACAAGCCATCACAGACTACACATATTGTATTTGTTGTGCATGGCATTGGTCAGAAGATGGACCAAGGAAGAATTATCAAAAATACGGCCATGTGAGTTCTTTGATGAATACATTCTCCATCTAGTCTAGAATCCAAACTTTGTTCCTCACTATCTTCTTTCATCTTTACTTTCCTTTTTTTTAGAGTCTCCAGATAATTACAACTACATGATTCATTAGACATGCCTGCTTGCCTAATCAGTATCTGCTTTTGAGAACTATGTAATGCTTAGAGTATAGGATTGTGTAAGTTTACTGTAGAAAAGGACAGTATTTTAAGCAAATATAGTGTTTCTGAGTTTGTAACTCAAAATCAGGGTTCCTCAACCTCATCACTATTTACATTTTTGACCAGATAATTCTTTGTTATGGGTTGCTGACCTATCAATTGTAAGATGCTTAGCAACATTCCTGACCTCTACCATTAGAGCAAATAGAACCTCTAGTTGTGACAACCAAAAATGTCTTCAGACATTGCCAGGTGGCCTCTGGAGGGAAAAAAATGTCCATGGTTGAGAACCACTAGTGTAAATGAACTTTTTTTTGGTAAATTCAGATGATAACACATCCTAATAATTATGTCATTATGAAATATATAGAACTGTACAGCCATCAAAAGTTAATGAGTAGAATAATAGAAATCAAAGTATGTTTTTTGTTGTATATACTCATACTTATTAATACTAAACATTTGAGAAGATGACAAAGAAACTTAAAAAAATGTACCTGTAACCATTACTTGAGTGTCTACTGTTTAAAAAAGGAGGGGGGTACTTTTAGACTCCATAGGTAGTAAGAGAGATCCTGCCTTCAAGTCTGAAGTTTTCGCTCTTTTTTATTTTCAGTGAGAATAAGGGAAGCAGATTTACTTTTTGGTAATTCAGAATGTATTTAGACCTTTTAAAATAACAACTTTGGGGATATACAATCAATAAAATATTACAGTTGGCCTCTGACCGTTGAGCAGCACAGGGGTTAGGGTCTCTGACATCTTTTGCCGTTGAAAATCTGTGTGTAACTATAGTTGGCCCTCCATGTAGGAAGATTCCCAACCACTAGTTGATCCTTGAACAACATGGATTTGAACTGTGCAGGTCAGTTGAAAAAAATCTGCACATAAGTGGAACTGAGCAGTTCAAACTTGTGTTGTTTCAGGGTCAACTGTATTATATTGTCAATAATGCCATTTAAAATAAATTTAAAATGAAGAAAGACTTTTTAACAAAATAGTATTGGGATAGCTAGATAACGATATAGATAAAAATAAAATGAGGTTTCTTTTTCACACTAAGATAAATTTCAGTTAGATCACAAATAAACATACGAAATGAAACCATACAAGAACTATGGATTTAAAAGATAGGGTTGAGAGGAGTTTGAATTCTTCTGCACCTTAGGAATAGAGAAAACTGTCCTAACTATGGCTTGATCCAGAGGCAGTAAGGAAAAATATTGACAAATATTAGATCATCCCCAAAAAGCTATATGGCAAAAAATTAAGACAAACTTAGAGAAAACATGTACAGCTTATATCATAGATGAACAGTTAATATCCCTAATATATATAGAACTTCTAAAAATAAAAGAAATAATGTCTAACCACCTTACAGAAAAATGAGCTAAAGATTTGACCAACCATTCCCAGGAAAGGAAATATTCAACCATGCTCATAAAATGTATATTAAAATTGCATAAGCTGCCATTTCTTGATTATTAGATTAGCAAAAACCCAAAATTTACCTGTATACTCTTTTGGCCATGCTGTGGGTAATAGTCATTCTTATAGTGCTAGTGAAAAGCAGTGAAGGAGAGAAAATGTGGCAATATCCATCAAAATTATATATGCATTTGTCCTTTAACCCAGCAGAGTTTCTTCTGAGTTAAAGATATACAAAAAGATACATACACAAGGCTATTAATTGCAGCATTGCTTGTAATAGGATATTACCTAAATGTTCAACAGTAAGAGACTGGTTGATAAACTACAACTATATTAATATGATGATAAACTATGCATTTGTAAAACAGTGAAGAAATCTATTTTTTTGTGGTTCTTTGAAAAGATTCACAAAAGTGAGAAACCTTTAGCTAGACTGACTAAGAATAAAAAGAGAAGATTCAAATTACTAAAATCAAGAAGGAAAGAGGGGACATTACTATAAGGGAATACTATTTACATTTCTGTGTCAACAAATCAGATAACCTAGATGTAATGGACGAACTTCTAGAAAGACACAAACTAACAAACTGATATGGTAATAAGTAACAAGAAATAGTAAATCCAAATTGACCTTTAACAAGTAAAGTATTTGAATTAATAATAAACTTTCTTCCAAAAACACTAAAAAGCCCAAGACCAGATGACTTTACCATGAATGCTACAAAACATTATAAGAAGGACTAGCACCAATTCTTCACACTCTCCAAAAAATAGAGGAAAGAAGACTTCCCAACTCATTCTCTGAAGCCAGTATTACCCTAATACCAAAACCATATAATGACATCACAAGGGGGGGGGGGAGGAGACTATGGACCTTATGAATAAAAGTAAATATCACTTATGAATACAAAAATTTTCAACAAAGTACCAGCAGCATGTAAAGAGGATTATATATTCTGGCCAAGTGGAATTTGTCCCAGGAATGCAAGGTTGGTTCAACATTTAAAAGACTCAACCAAGAGTACTACACCACATTAATAGAACAAAAGGAAAAATAGACACATGTGGTTTAACTAGAAATAGAAGGGAATTTCCTCGATCTGATAAAGGCTATCTACAAGTCCACAACTAAAATTATACTTTAACAACAAAAGACTGAAAGCTTTCTTCCAGGATCAAGAACAAAACAAAAGTATTCCCTCTTATCACTTCTGTTCAACCTTCTACTGTAGGTTTAAATTAAGCCTGGGCAATTACACAGGGAAAAGAAATAAAAGACACCCAGATTAGAAAGGAAGAAATAAAATTGTTTGCAGATCGCATACTCTTATACACAGAAAATCCTAAGGAATTCACACACACACAACTATTAGGGCTAATAAATGAACTCAGCAAAGTTACAGGATACAAGATCAACATACAAAAATCAATTTATTTATACACTAGCAATGAACAATCTGAAAATTAAATTAAGAAAGCATTTCCACTTACAATAGCTTCAAAAAGAATAAAATACTTAGGAATAAGTGTAACAAAAGAAGTGCAAGATTTGCATACTGAAAGCTATAATACATCATTGAAAGAAATTAAAGAAGAGCTAAATAAATGGAAAAGGCCCCTATGATTGGGCATTAGAAGATTTAATGTTTTTAAGATGGCAGTACTTCCCAAATCGATCTACAAATTCATCATAACTCCACCTGTCTTTTTTGTACAAATTGACAAGCTAATAAAAGGGACCCAGAACAGCCCACACTGTCTTGACAAGTAATAAAAGTGTAAGATGAAGAACTTACACTTCGCAATTTTATAACTTACTACAAAGCTACATTAATCAAGACATTGTGGTTCTGGCTGGTATAAAGATAGACATAGATCAATGGAGTAGAATTGAGAGTTTATTTGATTTTTGACAGGAGTGCCAAAACAATTCAATGAAGAAAGACTAGCCTTTTAAGAAATGATACAGGGCCCAGCCAGGCGTGGCTCAGCGGTTGAGCTTCGGCCCAGGATCCAGGCAATCGGGGTTCGATTCCTGGTCAGGGCACATGCCCGGGTTGCGGGCTCGATCCCCAGTCGGGGGCGTGCAGGAGACAGCTGATCAGTGACTCTCTCTTCATTGATGTTTCTATCTCTCTCTCCCCCTCTCCTTTCCTCTCTCTGAAATCAATACAGATATATTTAAAAAAAAAAAAAAAAATGGTACAGGGACACTTGGATATTCACATACAAAAGAATGAAGTTAAACCCCTACCTCACACCATGTACAGAAATAATTCAAAATGAATCAATGACCTACATATAAAAGCTAAAATTATAAAACTCTTAAAACATAGGAGCAAATCTTCATGACCTTGGATTAGGCAATGGTTTCTGAGATATGACATCAAAACTAGAAGCCACAGAAAAAAAAATAGATAAATTAGATTTTGTCAAAATTTAAAACTTTTGTTCTTCAATGAAAACCTGGGCATGGCTCAGCAGTTGAGCATCGACCTGGGATCCAGGGATCGGGGTTCAGTTCCTAGTCAGGGCACATGCCTGGGTTGCAGGCTCGATCCCCAGTCGGGGGCGTGCAGAAGGCAGCCAATCAGTGACTCTCTCGTCATTGATGTTACTCTCTCTCTCTCCCCCTCTCCTTTCCTCTCTCTGAAATCAATAAAGATATATTTTTTAAAAAATTTAAAAAAAACAAAAAGTAAAGAAAACCCACAGAATGGGAGAAAATATTTGCAAATTATGTATAAGGGCCTAGCATCGAGGATATTTGAAGAACTCTTACAATTCAAGTAAAAGAAATAACCCAATTTTTTAAATGGATAAAGAAATTGAATAAACATTTGTCCAAATAAATATACAAATGGCCCATAAGCACATTAAAAAGATGCTCAATATCATTAGTCAATAAGGAGATGCAGTTCAAGATCACAAAGAGATACCACTTCATACTCACTATGATGACTCATCAAAAAGAAAAGTGTTAGCAAGGTTGTGGAAAATTAAATACCTCATTTCACTGATGAGATTGTAAAATAGTACAGCCACTTTGGAAAACAGTTTGACACTTTCTCAAAAGTTAAATGTAGAGCTAGCATAGTAATTCCACTCCTGGATCCATACCCAAGTGAATTGAAAACATCTACATAAAAACTTAAAGAATATCCATAGCAGCATTATTCACAATAGCCCCCAAAATGGAAACAGTCTAAATGTTCATCAGCTGATGAATGGATAAACAAAAGTGGTATATTCATACAATGGAATATTATTCCACCATAAAAAGCAATGGAGTACTGATTCATGATAACAATGTGGACGAACCTTGAAACATCATGCTAAATGAAAGAAGCCAGACCAAAGACCACATATTGTATGGTTCCATTTATATGAAATATCCAGAATATACAAATCCATAGAGACAGGCTGCCAAGGCCTGAGGGAAGGAAGTATGGGGAATGACTGCTATGTGGATGGTGTTTCTTTTGGGGGTGATGGCAGTGTTCTGAAATTAGGTAGTGGTGATCGTTGTACAACTCTGTGAATATATTGAAAGCCACTGAATTGTTAAAAAAAAAACACCAAAAAAAACAGTTGAGCTGGAGTGGCTCAGCTGGTTGAGGGTCGTACTGTGCAATGCAGGGCTGCCAGTTTGGTTCCCAGTCAGGGCACATACCTGGGTTTCGGGTTCAGTCCCCGGTCGGGGCACGTACAGAAGGCAACTGATCAATGTTTCTCTCTCTCCCTCTCCTTCTCCCCCCCCTTCTCTCTCCCTCTCTTCCTCTCCCCCCTTCTCCCTCTCCCCCCCCTCCTCTAAGCATGTCCTCAGGTAGTGATTAAAAATAAATAAAGTAAAAAGAAACAAAACTAGTAAGGTTGTGTCAAAAGGTCACAGAAGCCAACTTTAAGAGACTCACTGACCAAAAAGGGAGACAAGAATGATAATTACAGTGAGTTTAAACACTTCAGGTATTTTTAAGTCTATGAGTTAGTAATGATGTCAAAAAATATAAAACCTGCCCGGGCCAGGTTGCTCAGTTGGTTGGAGCATTATCCCATACACCAAAAAGGTTTTGGGTTCGATTCCCTAGGTCGGGGCACATACCTAGGTTGCAGGTTCAATGATCCCCAGTCCAGGTGCGTGCAGGAGGCAACTGATTCATCGATGTTTGTCTCACATTGATAGTTCTCTCTCTCTCCCTTCCTCTCTCTCTAAAAATCAATAAAAAATATCCTCCAGTGAGGATTAAAAAAATATTTATATATATAAAACCTAACAACTCAGTATTTTTGAAAATTGCTAATTAAAGGGAAGCATTAACCATTTATCTTGCCTTTTCTGAGAAACTATTTGTATCACAAAACAGCCAAATATCTGATGTGAGGAAATTTCTTTTTAGAAGTATAAGGAATGATAGCATTTAAGAAGCATCTTTTTCCAACCATAATAAACTAATGGATCTAATCAGTGATCATCATAACTCCTAACATCACCAAAAAGATAGAAAACCAGATTTTTATACCTATGGAGTAGTAGTCTTGCCAAAACAGCAGAACTTGAATCTGATCAAACCCCTGTATCTCACTACCAGGTTACAGGAAATGGAGGACAAAGAGCATGTTAAATAACACCATGGAGATACAGTCATTAAAAGTCAGACTCTGAGAAACTACAGCATATAAAAAAATTACAAAGCAAAAGAGAGGAACCTGTAGATTAAGACATCTGCCAATTACAATGCTTGGGCTGTATTTGGAGCTCAGTTTAAACAAGTGTAAAAAAATATTTTTAGTGTTGTTATAAACTAACATTTATAGTCTAACTGGGAAAAGGGGACCACTGAACTACATACTTGCTGAAAATAAAGAATTATTAAATTTTTTAAAATAATAGTACTGAATAGGTTTTGTTTTCCTTGCATTTTATAAACAAATACTAAACTACAGGTGAAATAATATGTTGTCTGGTATTTAATATATTATGGGGGAAAGGTGTTACTATAAAGGAATTTGAGGGGATGATAGAATTATTCTGTATCTTGATTGTGGTTGTGCTATCCATGAGATTAGCAGACATTTGCTCCTGTCCAAAACACCCATTGAGACTTGTGGTCCATGCTGACCCATCTACCTAACCCCATGTGCCATCACCAGCTAGGCTACCTGTGCAGGAAGGGATATTATTGGCATACAACCACAACACAATTATTGGATCAATGAAGCATGATAGTGTCTTTTATGTATTAATCCTATAAACCAAAAGCATAAATAAACGTTATGGGCTGTTTAAACCCAGCAACATTTTCTTAAGCCTGGACATTTTGGATAGGACCAAATATGAAGGAACATTTGGCATTACTGAAATATGCTTTGAAATGAACTATTGTATAGTGTAGTGGTAATTGAAACATAACTGGATGTAGTTTTAAGCAATTGTCTTATAATTAAAGGCACATTATGCCATATAAATACATTTGTGAATTTACTCTAAGTTTTGTTTTGTTTTGATGATGTTTTTTGCTTTTTTAGGATGAGAGAAGCTGCTAGAAAAATAGAAGAAAGGCATTTTTCCAACCATGCAACACATGTTGAATTTCTGCCTGTTGAGTGGAGGTCAAAACTCGCTCTTGATGGAGGTACATTATGTTTAAAAATTAATTGATTTAGCCAATGGCAACAAAATAATGCTCATTGGGAACAAAGGGTCTTTAATTTAGTTGCCTTGAGGTATATTCACTATTTGTTTTAGATTACTTTAGAAAGTAAAATTCATTGATTTTTAAAAATAGTTCTATATTGAGCACCATGTAGATTTCACAGATAGCAGTTTTCATACATGCCCTCTGTGGATTAGGGGGTGGGAGTGGGAGGTATGTGGAGGGAACAAAATGTTTTTCTAAAGTTTTTGACAAAAAAGTAGTTCATCAATATTTTTATAAGTCCAGTGCACTATCTATCCATTGGTGCTATGAAGCCACCTAACTTGTCAGTACTATTGAAACATTGTCAAAATTCCTTATGAGCTTACATTTTCTTCCTGCTGATTTTCCTTTTTTGTTTTCTTTTGTTGTTTTTCCTACATTTCCTCGCCTGGTAATATTTAAGTAAAATCATGTTTATTTCCTTCCTTGTAGATCTATTAGTCAAAATATGCATATCTTTACACAAAATGCATCCTTTTAATATGAAAACCATTAAAATAGAATGTTTAGGCTATTTACATAACCTGGAAAAAGAGTTGTACTATATACAATAGCAGCTGCCATTTGTGGAGCCTTTACTGTGTGCTTGGCACTTTGCAGTTCATTTTTCATAGGATATCTCATTTAACTTTCTCACAAATGTATGAATACCTTCTTCATTTTCTCTATTTTACTGTTAAGGAAAGTGAAACTCATTAGAAGGGGAATTTAACCAGAAATAGCAAGCAGAGCCTAGGTTTGTTTGATGCCAGAGTGCTTACTCATCACATTGCTAAACAGCATCCTTGGACTATTTCCAGGAATTCTTCCAAGTCTGTGATTCTGTCTCATAGGAATGTCGGTTATAGCTAGTAGACCAAAATGGCATCAAAAATTGTAATAACTTTAAAACAAAAAGCTAGTGATCAAAGAAGACTTCTCAGCAGCAACAGCTCATATGTAAATTCTAGTGTACAAACACTATCTTTTGGGCTTTTCCCATTCATCCAGGTAAGTTCCTTAGGCTGCTCAGGAATGTAAACAACAAGGATAAATTTACATTTAATAAAATCCCCAAGAGTTTGTAATTTTCTGTTAGGTTTAAATTATTAGGATAGAATCTTAAAGGTGGCATTATGCTGAGGGAAAGAAGCTAAAGGAAAAACACCACTGCTTCTCTCTATTTTCAATACTTCTGACACCAAATAAGGGGGTTGGGGTGTGACTATCTCCATACCACCAATTGTCTAATTCTTAGTGCACACCAACTGGGTGTCCTACAATTTAACTCAGTTCTGACACTACTCAGACATAGTGCAGACAGATTAAGGGCACAGGACCACAGGATGACTCCTACTTCAGATGCTAATCACAAGTACCAGATTCTCGCCTGTTATAAATTGGGGGGTCCCATGACCCCATCCTGAGGTTTAATAACTTACTAGAATGACTTAACAAAATTCAGGGAAACATTTACTTACATTTACATGTCTAAAGGATATTACAAAGAATACAGATGGACAGCCCTATGTAGGCAAGGTGTGGGGATTTCATGTCCCCTCGAGTACACCACCCTTCTAGTTTATCCATGCGTTCACCAGACTGGAAGCTCTTCAAACCCTGTTATTTAAAGTTTTTATGGAGGTTCCATTATGTAGACATAATTAATTAAATCATTGACTGTTGCCGATTGACTCAATCTCCAGCCCCTCTCCCCTTCCCAGAGGTGAAGGAATGGCACAGGAAGTTCAACCCTCGATTAATTACTTGGTTGGTTCCTCTGGCAACCAGTCCCACCCTCCAAGAGTCACCTCATTAACATAAGCTTAGGTATAATTAAAAGAGGCTTATTATGAATAATAAAAGACATACCTCTCACCCTCTATCACTCAGGAAAATACAAGGGTTTTAGGAATCTTGTGTCAGAAACTGGGTACAAAACCTATAAATATATGTTTCTTATTATATCACTAATCTCAAAGGTTACATAATTTATGCTCCATTTATGTGACATACTGGAAAAGGCAAAACTATAGGGACAGAGAACAGATCAGTAGATGCCAGGGTTTATGGGAAGGCAAGGGTTTGAATTTAAAAGGGCAGCATGTGGGAGTTTTTTGAGGTGATAGAACAGTTCTGTATCTTTATCATGGTGATAGTGATGTAAAACCATATATGCATTAAAACTAAGAGTTAATTTTACTGCTTGTAAATTTTTAAATAATGATAAAAGATATTTACCTGTAGCAAACATTGTACTCAGGAAGAGGTAAGGATATCACTCTTTTTAACAAATATTCTACCTGAAGTCTTAGCCAGTACAGTAAGAAAAAGAAATAATAGTTTTAAGGAATGGAAAGGGTGTTTTTTATTTGCAGGCCATATAATTGTCTACACAGAATGTACTAAATATGTATAGAAAAATTATTAGAATTAATAAGACAGCTTATCAAGGTTGTGAAATAGAAGATCTATTGTAAACCCACTCTTGCCCCACCCTTTATAAAAATAATTACATTTCTACATGCCGGCACAATTAGAAATAGTTTAAAAAATATAAAATTTTGGCCCGGCCGGGCATGGCTCAGCGGTTGAGCGTCGACCTAGGATCCAGGCGATCAGGGTTCGATTCCCGGTCAGGGCACATGCCCAGGTTTCGGGCTCCATCAGTGACTCTCTCATCATTGATGTTTCTGTCTCTCTCCCTCGTCTTTCCTCTCTCTGAAATCAATAAAGATATATTTAAAATATATATATATATAAAATTTTGCCCTAGCTGGTATGGCTCAGTTGGTAGGAGTGTTGTCCAGTACATCAAAAGGTGGCAGGTTCGATTCATCAGAGTACATACCCAGGTTGCAGGTTCTATCCCTGGTTGGTTGGAGCACTTGGGGGACCAAACTAATCAATGTTTCTCTCCCTCTCCCTTCCTTTCTCTAAAATCAGTCCATATGTGTGTATATGTGTGTGTGTGTATGTGTGTGTGTATATATATTTCCTAGAAATTATAATAAAATATGTACATTTATTAAAAATGAAAAAACTGTTATAGGGTATTAAATACAACTTAAGTAAATATAAAGATAATTTTCTTAGGTTGGATGACTCAATATTATAGAGATGTTAATTCTCCTAAATTGATTTATAGATTTCATGCAATTCTAATCAAAATCCCAACAGAGTTTTTCATGACACTTGACAAGCTGATTCTCAAATTATTATAAAAGAGCAAAGGCCCCAAAATAGCCAAGATACAGAACAATAGGAGGAGGAGGGGAGTCATGTTCTAGTAGATAGCTGGACCTATTATGTAACATTTTATTTTAATTAAGACAATCTAGTATTGGCACAAGGATAGGCCAGTGCACCAGACTAGAGACTCCATAAAATAGAACTGCGTTTAGTTTGAAAACCTGATATATGACTGAGCTCACATTGCAGATCATTGGTGAAAGGATGGCCTGTTCCATAAATGGTGCTTGGTAACCAGTTATCCTATGGGGGAAAAAAAGTAAAAACAGTCCCTACCTCACATTCCAAATACATCAAAGACAATGTATGCCAAGACTTTTAAAAGTATCAGAAAAAATATAGGAGGGTATTTCCTTAAGACAGAAAAAAACAACTACGAAGTAACATGGATAAATTTGATTAAAATTAAGAGCTTCTATTTCTACGTAGACATAAACAGTGAAAGACAGACCACAAACTGGGAAAAGATGCTGCAACAAAGCAACAGATAGAACCACCAAAGTTTTAATATACAGAATAAAAAATAGAAAACTTAAATGGAGAAAGATATACACACATCATATTTATGTGTTTTATAAGTTAATATTTTTAAATATGTATTTTACATACTATATATAATGTACATCTCACTAGTCTAGTAATCAAGGAAATGCAAATTAAAACCACAATAAAGTATCATTGACACCCATCAATTAGCAAAAATATAAGGTGAGGCTGTGTAGCAGTGAGGATTCTTATTCACTATTAGTGGGAATATAAATTGGTACAATCACTTTAGAGGACAATTTGGTATTATCTTGTAAAGTTGAATGTGGCACAGCACTTTCACTCCTAGATATATGTGCCCTAAAGAAAATCTTACACATGTGCACCAGGAAACATGTACAACAGTGTTATTAGGAGCATAGTTTATATTAGCAAAAAAACTGGAAACAGCTCAGATGTCTTTCAAAGGAAAATGGATAAATTGTGAGATATGTATAGCTTGGAATGAACAGATTACAGCTAAATGCATTAACACTGATGAATCCCAGAAACATAACACTGAAGGTGAAACAAACCGTGGACAATAACTCCATTCACAGTGTTCAAAGCAGCAAAATGAAATAAATTATTTAGGCTCAGGTACACAATAAATGGTACAGAATTGGCTAAAGTTATTAATATTAATGGGCATGAAGGAAATCTATAAAGAAAAGCAATAGTGTGAGTAACACAAATCTCATATTGGTGGTTACTTTTGGGGATGTGTTATCATTTAGGGATATATATGGGTTTCAGAGATCCTGGCAATACTGTTAAGCTAGGTAGTAATATCTTTTTTGTCTGTATGTGTATTTCACAGTAAAATCTTTTTGGAAGTTCATTAAAATGACATTTAAACTTTTTGTATCAGCATGGTAGTCACACCTTTCACTTTTACAGTTTAAAAATAGGCACAGGCTATAAATATGTTGTGCTACCCATGAATAGCAACAGTATTCCCTTTTAAATCTTTAAAAACACTTCTGGCTTTTGCTTGAATCATTGCCTTCCAGTCATTATTAGATTGTATAAAAGTGGAAAATAAATAAAAATAAAATAATTTAAACCAGTGCAGCGAAGATAAAAGAAATTGTACTAGACAGTTGTACTAGAAATTGTACTAGGCAAGTCTTCCCTTGCCTACCTTGTGCTTTCAAGTCATGATATTCAGCCAAGCATAGTACTTCTTTGTATTTCTATAAGAAATGCAAATTTTTCTGCATCTCTAATCGTTTTGTTTGGCATTAATAGAATAGTTTTCTCATGGTATAATTTCCATAGGTTAACTGTAACTCAGAGAAAGCTACATGCATTTGCAATGCAGGTTATGTAACAGGTTTTTTCCTAAAGTAAATTACACCAACTTTATCTTGTTTACTGCAGATGCCCATTGCCGATTTGCCATTGTGCATATTTGTAATTTGACAGCTGTTCCTCATAGGATCTTTGTTTCACTAAAGATAGATAAATGTAAAGTGTAAGGAAACTTTAATTTGTTGCTGGTTTGCCACCAGTGCCTATAGGCATTCCACATGGGTATTGCCAGGCCCAAGGTGCATAGTCCAAAGAAGAAGAGAAAGGAAACAGAAAAGGAGATGCAGAAAGAGTCAGATTGTGTCTCTTAATACTTGTTCCAGTAATAGAGATGTCCTGATTTTGCTCTGGGTACCTCTGAGTGTCATGCACATGCCAGTACATACAAAAAATGGCCAGGCTTTATAGACTTGATAATGGCCTTCATCCTTTACTGTTCCTTCTCTTCTTGTGTCCCCTTTTGTCTTTTACTGTTTTTTTCTTGCTATATTTTACAAGAAGGAAAGGATCATTGGATCCAAAGCCAGTCTCGAAGATTGAAATGTTTACTTAAAGAGCTGTTGTTTTAGGGAATGTAACTTTTTTCACAATTTATTTTTTCCCTAAAACACATACCTTCTGTAAGTTTTGTTTGTTTTTTTATTTGTAGACACTGTTGATTCCATTACTCCTGACAAAGTACGAGGTTTAAGGGATATGTTGAACAGCAGTGCAATGGACATAATGTATTATACTAGCCCACTTTATAGAGATGAAGTAAGTATCATGATTATCTTGTTGCTTTTGGGTATTTTTTAGAGCTATAGAATATGTGTTCTGAATTTTAACATTTTATGCTATTTTTACAAACAAATGAGAAATTATGAGAATCCATTAATCTGTAAATAGTCTGTGTTAATAGTGAATTGGATCATCTTCAAACTGCACATTGGACCCTTAATAAAATGAGTAATCTTGGAAGTGGAAGATTGGTTAGAAAATAGCTCTCTGAAAAATACAGTTTTCATAAATCTGATTAATTATATCTGTGATTGTTGTCCTCACTAAAGAATTTTAGAAATTTCCTTCAAATTATTTGTTTACAATAGACTTGCTTTTATTCATGTTTCTGGAGTGGATTCATGTAAACGGTAATGTTGCTTATGTATCACAAAAGATAACCCTAAAGGGGATAAGAGCTGAAAGTTTTTTAGAGGGATGAGAGAATCTACCAATGCGTTTTGTCACTTTATTAGTAAGAGAAAAAGAATTCTGTTCTATAGGAATAACCTTGTCAGTTACTTAACATGTATTAACTTTGTTTAATCCTGCTCAGAACCCTATGAAGTAGGTATGATTAGTATCCTTATTTGAAAGATGGAGAAGGGGGTGCAAGGAGTAATTACCAGTAGAGTTGCTCTGTGCTGCTCCAAGACAATCCATTTCTGATTTTGTTCATTGGAAGTCATTCCCTGACTCCATCCAGGATATCCTTTACATAGCTACAGAAATATGTTTGGTTAGTTGCCACTGAAACTTCCTTCTCTTCTGGCTACCATTTCCTTAGGATTTTTCTTCATTCCTCTTTCTATATCCCCTCATCGCCATGCACCTGTATTGGGCAAGATCTGCCTTGATCTGATTACAATAGTAAAAGAAGCTACAAGGAGAACTGCTGTTTTGAACCTAATTCTAGCCTAGGAAGGCTTAGTTGGTGAAGCAGAATACTAATAATACACATGTTCATAATTCTTTATAGTGTGTAGTGGGCATTGTTAGCTGTGCCCTAAAGGTTAGAAAAGTGAACTGTAGTATTGCAAATGAAACCAGTGAGAAGGAAAAAAAGAAAAGAGAATGGTTGAAAGCATTACTATACACACACACAGACACCCCATGTATATATATGCCTTACAGACACATATGTCTTTGGTAGTACTCCTAAGAAGGTATTTTGAATGTTCAAGGCTAAAAATGTACTGAGATGTGTTCCCCAAAAGTAGTAATGGTGGTGTTTTTTTTAAGTTTTAAGTTTGCATGAATAGCAACAAAAACTAGAAAGAGAAAAGTGGCAGACTCAAAGCTCTGGCCATTGGCTAATGATGACTAAGAAAGTGGTCACTTTCTATTTTACTCTTATAATCTTTAAGGATAATTATCCTCAGAATGGAATTAAATAAGGTGTGTGTGTGTGTGTGTGTGTGTTTAATGATTTTTTTTTTAAATATTTCTTTATTGATTTCAGAGAGAGGAAGGGAGAGGGAGAGAGAGATAGAAACATCAATGATGAAGAGTAGTCATTGATCAGCTGCCTCCTGCACGCTCCCGACTAGGCATCCAGCCCGCAACCCAGGAATATGCCCTGACCAGGAACCGTACCTCAATCTCCTGGATCCTAGGTCGATGCTCAACCACTGAGCCACACCTGGCTGGGCATGATATCTTTTTTTTTTTAAATTTATCTTTATTGTTGAAAGTATTACAGATGTCCCCTTTTTCCCCCCATTGATCCCCTCTACCCCACATCCACCCCACCCCCAGGCCTTCCCCATACCAATGTCTGTGTCCATAAGTTGTGCATATAAGCATATAAGTTCTTTAATCTCTCCCTACCCGTTCCCCTTACCCCACCTTCCCTCTGAGATCCCTCAGTCTGTTCCATGCTTCTATGTCAATAAGATAGATATTTAGTAGAATGAGGGAAGTGGAAAGAGAACACCCATTGTTTTAAATTAGTTTTTTGATTCAGTTGAATTTCATGGAAAAGCACTGAGAACTTGTGGCTGAGATTCATCAGCAATCTTTAGCAATGTTTCCCAAACATCCCTAATTAGAACATCACTTGGGGGGCTCATTAAAAATGCAGGCATAAAGGAACCCCATGGGGGAACTTTGGAATTTAGGGTATTAATGTGAATTTATGATTTGAAAATGTGTGTGTATTTATGTATTTAAGTATATATTGTTTACACATCTATATATTTCCTAATTCTGTGCACTGAAAGGTCCAAGAAGCAGACATCCCAATCTAATGAACACAACTAGAACCCAGATCTTTTCCCTTAGTATTCCCCACCAGAAAGAACTAGAGTTACTTGGAAAAAATGGCTGGTCCCAGAGCTGGGACAAGATAGGTACAAGTTGAAGCTAAAACAACCTGTTATGACAAAAAGTAGGAAAAATGCTCAAAAGAATAAAGGGGCAGGTTACAAGGTCAGGAGTCAGATTGAAAAAGCAGATCCTGCTGGCCAAATCTGGAACAATTTGAACACAAAATAATTAAGTAATTATTACTTATTGTAAGGAATTAGTAGTACTTTTAATACAGAATTATAACAAGAATAATATAATAAGGGAATTCTAAATCATTGAAAAATTCATAAGTTAATATCGATTATAAATAGATAAACAAACGGGGAAAGGGAGGTCCTTTGCTTACAGTAGAATGCCAAGGGCTTACTGTTAAATGTGGAGGGAATGCTGGAGTTGTAAAATCCTTAATTTGCAGCTATCATGGTAGGATCAAATAAGGGAGGACTGGGCAAGAATCATCTTGGATGCTAAATTGAGGGCAAAATTTTGATGAGAACATGATGTTTGCATGGTCTTGATGTGTATTCTTATAGACTGCTTATTAAAGAATGAGAAAAGAGCCCAGCTGGGCGTGGCTCAGCGGTTGAGCATCAACCTAGGATCCAGGTGATCGGGGTTCGATTCCCAGTCAGGGCACATGCCCGGGTTGCGGGCTGCAGCCGATCAATGACTCTCTCATCATTGATGTTTCTAACTCTCTCTCCCTCTCCCTTCCCCTCTCTGAAATCAATAAAGATATATTAAAAAAAAAAAAAAATGAGAAGATATAGAGTGGGGAACTCAGGCGACACCTTTACTGGGTGTTACTGAGGGACACTCAGGACACAGCATCATTTATGCAGTATTCCAGTCATGAGGAAACATCACATACACACAAAAGGAGGAAGTTCTAATTAAAAAGTAGGATGGCACTATGTTCTTTTAAAACGTCAAAATCATAAAAGACAAAATATGACTTTGGAAAATGTTCCAGATTAAAGGAGGCTAAAGAGACATGATAGCTAAGTACAACATCGAATCCTGCACTGTATTCTGCACTGGGTGGGGTAAAATGCTACAAGGATGGTATTAAATCAACTGACAAAATTTAAATGTGGATTTTCGATTAGATGAAATATTTTATCAAAGTAAATTTATGAAGTTGATAACTACAGTGTTTATGGGGGAGAATATTCCTAGTCTTAGAAAATATACACTGAAGTATTTAGATGTAAAGGATCATGACATCTGTAATATATCCTCAAATGTTTTTTTTTAAAAGTTGTTCGTGTGTGCATGTGTGCGTGCTGTGTTATAGAAACAGAACAAGTGCCAAAATAGGCTAAAGTGCTAATAGGTGAATCTTGGGTAAAAGGTACATGTAAGAGCATTGTACTATTTTTATTTTGCAACATTCTATAAATTTGAAATTATTTTCAAATAAATAGAGAGTTAAGAAAATGACAGAAAGTTTCCCAGGTCCCTTCCCTGGAGATTGGAAGTCAGCGGGTCCGAGGTAGAGCCTGTGTTTGTTTGGTTTGGGGTTTTTTGTTTTGTTTTGTTTTTTTAGTTAATCCTCACCTGAGGATATTTTTTCCATTGATTTTCAGAAAGGAAGGGAAGGGAGGGGAGGAGGGAGAGAGGGAGGAAGAGAAAGAGAGAGAGGGAGGGAGGTGAGAGATGTGAGGGGGGGAGAGAGGGAGGGAGGCGAGAGAGATGTGAAAGAGATGTGAGAGAGACAACAATTGGTTGCCTCCTACACGCCCCCAACTGGGCCAGGGATCGAACCTGCAACCCAGGTACATGCCCTTTACCAGGAATCGAACCCATGACCCTTCGGTCCGAGGGCTGACACTCTAACCACTGAGCACACTGACCAGGGCATGCCTGTGTATTTGGTTTGTGTTTTGAACAGTTTCCCAGGTGATACCATCAGAGAAGTTCGGGGAACATTGCTAAGGCATTGTGAAAAACAAGAAAAACTTGGAAGTGGGCAAAAAATTGTTATTTTTAAAAAGGAAAACTCATTCTATAAATCAAAGTCCATCTGGTACAAAATTGGTATTAGGCAGTATTTTAGAATAAACTATTTTTCAACAGTATGTGTTTTCTTAAGGAAGTTGTGATAAATAACAGCCCGCAGTTCTTCAAGATTCATTCATGCCTGGTGGATGAACCTTGTTGGGTTGATTGACAAGCATATGAAAGCCTTTTTCCCCTTCCTCTTTTTCCTCTTTGACTCAGGTTTTGGAGTCAAATAGATTCAAAACCTGACACTTAAGTAGCTATGTGACCATAGATCAACTTTCTCAGTTTCCTCACTTAGAAAATGGACATAAAATAAGTGCCAGATAAAGGTTGCCATGAGGACTAAAGATATACATATAAACAGGGTGGGGCAAAAGTAGGTTTACAGTTGTTGAGTACACGAAGCGCAGTTTATTCTTGTATTATTTTTTATTAATTATTGTGTTATTTTCTATATGAACAACTGTAAACCTACTTTAGCCCCACTCTGTATATATGGTTTCCAGTGTACTTCCTTGTCCTTAGCTTTTCATCTTCTGATTAAGTATATATCTGTCTTTATTTTATTTCAAGGGCTACCATTTTTAAAAAATGGATAGACTTGTTTTTTTAACTGTAGAAAGTGAAATAAGTATCAGTGAATAGAAAATATGGAAAGGCCCTGGCCAGTGTTCAGCAGTTAGAGCGTCAGCCCATGCACCAAAGAGTATCGAGTTCAGTTCCCAGTCAAGGGCATGCACCTGGGTTGCAGGTTCGATCCCCAGCCCGGTCAGGATGTGTGCCGGAGGCAATCAAAGAGTCTCTCTTACATCAATGTTTCTCTCCCTCCCTCCCACTTTCTCTAAAAATCAATGGAAAAATATCCTCGGGTATGGATTAACAACAAAAAGAAAGAAAATATGGAAAGGAACACATTTGTTTACTAACAAAGGACTTTGTAATAACTAAAGCTGCCTTGAAAAAGAAGCATCGCAAGGGAAAAAAGTTTGTAAATAATGTGAGGCGATGGGCTTTAAACTTTATTGTGCTGATCATTTTACAATATATACATATATCAAATCGTGTTGTATGTCTTAAACTTATATAATGTTATATGTGAATTATATATCTCAATAAAACAAACAAATATTTTAAGTAGAAATGACCACTGTAGAGTAGAGATACTCACTGGGGTGGATGCTGAGCAGCTTATCAGGGGGACTACTGGAGGGACTCCTCCCTTCACAGCAGTTTAAATTGGATCACCTCCGAGGTCCCTTTTCACTGGAGATTCTGAGGTGCTCATGGGAGGATCCTAACTCATGACTGTGCAAATAATCACTGAAAACCCATCGTTAGGGGAAAAGTTTTTTGTATGAATCAGTACTTCTCAGGTCATACTTCCTGAGGACTAGTTTTTAAAACAACTAATATCAGACTTTCAGAACATCATTGGAGAGCCCTTATGCCTTATTCAGCCTTAACTAAAGTAGCATGAAAAATCAGAGAGAACTGTAGCTCTTGCACACAACTGAACTCTCTTTTCAATGGCTTTTAAAAGTGAAGAATTATAAAGAAAATTGTCATGGCAGTATCTTGCCATTGCTATTTGAAAATTGTTTAATTGAGTTTTGTTGTAATTAAAAGACTTACTGTAATTTTGAAAGAATTGTTTAATTGATATATATATGACTAAAACTATCTAAATAATTTTTCTTATTAAAATTTCCTGAAGCAGGGAAGACAAAGGGTTAATTATACTCATCAGCCGTATTTTATGTGTTTGGAGTTTCTCTTTAAAATGCTGAGCTTTTTCCTTTTGGGTTGATTTCCTTCGTAAATTTTAACTTTTAGGCAGTGGTTACGAGATTTAGAAACTCTTAAGCTTTTGAAAGGCCATCCAGTGCCTACTTTGTAAGAGGTTAGCTGACTTGATTAGATAATATTGTAGAGCTAATAAAATTAAGAGGACAGGATGTATCATTAATCTTGATCCAGATACCCCAAATGAATATGCTTGGTCACAACGGGATCCTAGCTAGGAGAATGTAATTGGATCAGATGGGATAAAGGAAACCTAATTAGAAAAAATCTAATGAGAGTAGACTCTTTGGATACAACAGAGAGGTGGATTTTTCCTTTTGCTGCTGAGTGGATGACTTATTAAAGCATTTAGAGGGGGTTGATATTTTTAAAAACAAACCAATTAGATACCTTTTGCCAGAGTACTTAAGTATGTATCCTTTAGTGTTTTAGACTTACATGGCATGAGTCTTAAAACCAGGCCTTCAAAAATAAGAGCTATTAACAAATGTAGCTTTTAAAGGAACTTATTTTATCTAAACATTAGCTTTTCTACACCTTTAGATTGTACATCAGGAAAATTTTAAGAATTGGTTGATATTCTTATCAAAGCCAAATCATTATATTACCGGAACTAAAACATTACATTATAGCTCACTTTGAACAGAGCATGTACTTTCATATCACACTGCCTACTCCTGAAACTATGTTGACTGGAATTACCTATGACCCACATTTTACAAGGCTTTTATATGCATTTGCCACTAAAGCAGTATTTCCTAAAGTGTGACCCCCAGAACTGCTGAATCAGAAACTCTGGGGTGGAGCCTAGTGATCTGTATTTAACAAGCCTTCCAGGTGACTGTGATGCACATTGAAGGTTGGAAAAACATTGCATTAAGGCATGGGATTCTTTTGCTTTTCCTCAGAAAAAAAGTTAAAATGTCCAATTGAAGTAGCATTTTTGCATTCCTCCCTGGAGAAAGGGCAGCTTATCATCCTTCCACGTGCTACCAGCTCATCTTGTCCTTCTCTTCCTTCATTGGCTGAATGTATTTCATCAGACTCAATACGTGGTTTCAGTAGCTTTAACCAAACCCTCAGTGTAGCTTGTAGAGCTCAGATGTCAGCAAAGAGAACACCATGCCCTCATTCACGTCACTGCTAATCCTGCTACGCGTGAATGCTCAAATGATTTTCAGTTTATGTCAGCAGGTAGAGAATGTTCAGTAAAATCTGATGGAGTCTAGATGTCCTTGAGACAAAATAATAAGACTGAAAATGGAAGCAACACACAACTAATATTTGTATGTTGAGTAACAGCTGGCATAAGAAATACTGAAATGAGAAATTGACAGGAAATTTACCATTAATTGTAGTAGTCAGCAATAATACAAAGAATAGAGAACTACCTTAAAACTCAGGCCAGGACCCAGTGTGGATCTGAGTAAGAACCTTATTCTTCTGACTTTATGGCACATTTCAGCAATGTTTGTTAGAGCTAAATTTCAAAGAAAACAGTTTTACAAAGAAAAATGACTGAGATACTTCCCACATTATTAACCTCTAAACCTTAAAAAGCTCTGCTTTCCAGCCGTATAAAACAACTTCTTACTCATATTTATATTACCAGCTTTTGGGAATTTTGGAATATCAAGTAGATCGATGTTAGCTTTTTCTTTAATTGTAAATGACATTTCATTACATTATTCTTATCTAAATGCATAGTGTAATAACATATATACTGTGTTAGTATACCTGTTATCATAAACCCAGATATGGCCTAAAAATTGCAAGGAACAAAAATTTAGAATTGTATGTAAGTTGCAGTGAAGAAGTAATTTCCAGGGGCTCTTTGAAAATCTTACTGGCATCTACATGGAACTGTTTTTCTTAATCTGTGGAACGGCTGGCTCATATATATAGTTGGTTTAAGGACTGTGAAAGGATCTGTATGGGTAATATCTGCCTTTATTCTTTAATGATGATATGGGTTATAGTAATATATATCTTCATTTCCTGAAAGGTTTTGAAGCACCTGAGTTAATTTTAATAACCTAGGTATATTTGGCCAGTAATATATGTTTTTCTTTCTTAATGTGTTTGAGTTTAGAAATAAAGTTCGTAGTAGTCAGTGATTAATATGATAATGTTCTCTTATTTCAAACAGCTAGTTAAAGGCCTTCAGCAAGAGCTGAATCGATTATATTCCCTTTTCTGTTCTCGGAATCCAGACTTTGAAGAAAAAGGGGGTAAAGTCTCAATAGTGTCACATTCACTGGGATGTGTAATCACTTACGACATAATGACTGGCTGGAATCCAGTTCGACTCTATGAACAGTTGCTGCAGAAGGAAGAAGAGTTGCCAGATGAACGATGGATGAGCTATGAAGAACGCCACCTTCTTGATGAACTCTACATAACAAAACGACGGTAAAATACCCTAGTCTCTTAAAACAATTGAAAATGTCTTCATGGAATTACTGGACTTCTTAGGAGAAAACTTGAAGATTTTCATGATAAAGGAAAAATACATTGTTCAGGGTTCAAAGATTATTAGATAACATGCCCCATCAAGAAGAGACTGTTTTCATGCTAATTATATGTTTTTTCCCATAGCATAAAATAAATAGTTTTGTCACCTGCCTCTTTTTCTTTCTATCTATTCTTCACAATTTATTAGGAGTAAAACCTAAAACTTATTCCAGCTGAGTCACTGTGCAGAATCCCTGTTGAAAATATTTAACAGTTTATAACCCTTTGTAGTTTTACTAATCTTAGAGATGTGCCCTTACCTTTCTTACTGTTCTGGAAATAATTTTCAAGCCCTTTTTTTCTTGGCAAATCTATTTTTGACAGATTTTATAATTATGTGATCACTTGTGGCCTTGTGGATACAATCATTTAGTTTGCTACATCCCTATCTTCATCTGTAATTACATGCTCTTTCTTCTTTGTCCTCTTAATGACTATCCAGTCGATTTTAATAGAACAGTGAAAAGTCACTCGTTTGGGTAGTTAGCATTATATAAAAACCAATTTAGTTGACTAAAATTTTTACTCAGGAAGCCATAGGTTTGTTTTAGTCTTATGGAAGTTGTTTAAGGATTTTATTTAGAATCTTACTAAATAAAATTTAGTAAGATTCTAGACACATAAAGTATACAGTGGCAAAATAATTGATAGGTTTGAAAGAAAATGTCATATTGGCAAGCCTCAGAACAGCATTTTAGATACAAAATCCAAAAAAAATTTTTTTCAACAGTCTTATAAAATGAACTGTACTCTTTTTTAACCTTAGTTCTATTGTTTATTAAATGTAAGTAGATATGGAACATGTAATGGGAAAAAATCGAAATAACCCAAATGTTCACTAGAAGAGAAGGGTTGAATAAATTGTGGTTCATTTGTGTGATGGACTATTACACAGCTGTTACAAAAAAGTAGATCAGGAAACAAGTGAAAAGATCTCTAAGACTCATGATTAAATATAGAAAAAAGAATGGCATAGAACAATGTATATAGTGTGAGCATTGGTGTGATTTTTTTAGGAGATATAAAAATCTACATATGCTTTTATTTGCCCCACATTTTACTAAAGAATACAGCAAAAAAGCTACTAACAGCAGGTATTATGAAGAGTTGGGGTACTTTTACTAATCATTTTATAAACTTTTAGAGACTTTCTATACTACAGCAGGTGCGTTTATTAAGTATTATCAATAGGGATTAATCTAAGGGATTAAATAATGGGTCTTTAATTTCTTCTTTATACTTTAGTGAACTAGTGAGCATCTAATATTTATGAAATAAATACAAATGTGTACATAATTTTATAATGTTTCCTAGGCTGAGAGAAATAGAAGAACGGCTACATGGATTGAAGGCATCGTCTATGATACAAACACCTGCCTTAAAATTTAAGGTAAAGAAAGACTGATGAGATTTTCATTATCTGTCTCACTTTTTTCCAAACAGCATTTGAAGCATGACATTAGGATTCAAATTAAATCTAAATTATTGTTTTTTCCAATTAATATATATTGAACATATGTGTGTTGCACACTGCTAGTTTCTGTATTCTACAAAGAAAAGAATGGATAAGACATTCTGCAGCCCTTAGGATATATAACAGTGTTGTTGGTGCTATTAGAAGTATGCAGAATGATGTGTGTACGAGAGAGGGGCTTTAATTTTGGCTATAAAGGGTTACAAAGGAATGACATTTGTACTTGTTATCAGTAAATTGGAATGTTGCCAAGTTGAGGAAAGGAAAAATGCTATTCTTTGTAAAAGAAAGAACATAAAGGTGTGGAGGGATATAGCTTTATAGTACCTCCAGGAAACACAAAATAATTTCAAGTAGTGGGGGGAAAATAGAGACAGATCTGGGAAATATTTAGTATTTAGAATTAACAAACCTTGGTGATCAGCTATTTGTAGGTGGTAAGGAAAATGTGGAAGTGGCACTGATGATTCTGGGGATGGAAAGCTTGCATTTCAGTCAATGAAAAGTCTATAACCAAAGCACAAGATGAGATACACATGGTTAGTTTGGAGCAGGGTGAGCAAACCAGTTTGGCTGGAATGTACAGGACTCGGGGCTGTGAAAGAGCAGGAAGAGCTAGAAATAAAGAACTTATATTGGATGTGGGCAATGGGAACTTTTTCAGGGTTTTTGAGCATTAGAACAGAGCTGTCAAAAGCAGTGGTTTAGAAGAATAAAAGTGACAGAGAGATGTCAACATTCACCTGACTGTTGAAAAGAACATAGCCTATGGGTGAAAAATAATTTGTTTGTAATATTAAATGGAGTATGGCATGCGTTTCCTAATACTTCTTCTGTTGAATGTATGCCGGTATCTAGTGTACTATATTATCTCTTCCTAAGATCTTTGTGTTTTTTAAATCACAGGAACTTAACATATAGGGTAAGTAATGGAAAGATGCAGAATTTTTTTTAAATAGTAAGAATTGGGGGGAACACTTTGTAAAGTATACAATTGTCTAATCAATATGCTGTACATCTGAAACTAATACAAAATAATATTGAATGTAAATTGGAATTGAAAAATATATAAAATAAAACATTACGAATTTTCTTATAGAACCTATCTTCACGACTTGTGAATGTTCTTTTTAAACTTATACATTTAAAAGCCATAAGTAAAGTTATAACATACATTTAAAGGCCATAAAAATATGGTCTTTGGAATCATCCCCACCTGGAATTTGCGTTCTATCTCTACCACAATTATTACTTGTAATCAGTGTCAAATACATAGAATTGATATGGTAGAAAATATAAAGTCTTCTATTTTTTTATTTTATTTTATTGATTTGAGGGAGAGAGAATTGATTTGTTGTCCCACTTATTCATGCATTCTTTGGCTGACTCTTGTATGTGCCCTGACCACCCTGTTTTTCTTGAAGCCCTCTCCTCCCTTGGCTTCCATGATACCATTTCCCTGGTTCTCTTTCTCCTTTCACTCTCCCTTTTGTAGTTTTTCCTCTGCCTGCTAATCAAATGTAGACATTCCCCATAGTTCTACCTAAAGCCATTTTATTCTGTGCACTTAATAAGCAATCTTACCCATTCTCTTGATTTTACACGTCACTTCTATAACGGTAACTAACACTTAGGCTTGGATGGTGACATATCCAATTCTATATCTCTTGTCCTAAATTTTCAGCTCCCTGTTACGTATGTTACAGATACCCCAAACTTATTATGAACAAAAATAGAATTTACTTAAGAGTTTCCTGTTACAAGTAATGGAACCACTAGCCTCCCACTCAGCCAGAACCAAATCTTATGAATTGCCTCTGACTCATTTCTCATCCCCCGTCTCCATTCATTCATGTTGATTCTACCTGACCTCTCATATTTTCATTTCATTTCTGAATGGGACGGCTAGTCCTGCTTGGCTTCAGATTATCTTTTGCCTAAACTGTTTCAGTAGTTTCCTACCTTGTCTCCAAGGAACCAGCCTCTCAACTTTCCTGTTTACCCGCAAGCTACTACCAAGTTTACTAACCTTTTGAAACGTAGATCAAATCCTATTCTCCTTCACTACCTATAAAATAAATTAAGTCCAACTTTCTTAGTCAGACAGCCAAGATTCTGTAACACTCTCTCACTCCAAGCTACATTTTCCCCCACACCCAGTTTTTCAGCCATGTCAGACTATTTCTGTTCTCTAATTAAGCCAGGTTCTTTCCCGCCTCTGCTTCAGTTTATGTGGCTCCAAACTGACGAGTTTGGAGTACTCCTTTTCCAGCCCCAGTGTACCAGCCCCATCCGTGGAAATCCTTTTCACCTCTCTTGGCCCATGCAAATGCTTCCTCCTTTGTAAAGCCCTCGGAGTTGGAATGAATTATTCCTTTCTCTATTCTCTTATAAACAGCGATTTTCAACCAGTGTGCCGAAAGAATTTTTAAAACATGCCATACCTGACTGTTTAGTCAGGGGCATTGACCTCTTTTCTCTTAAATTGTAAAAACGACAACAGCCAACACAACAGTAGCCACCCAGTGTGAGTGAATTAGAATTATATCTTTTTTGTGTGTGTCAGATCGACAAAAAATATATTTTTGGTGTGCCACAGAATTTTAGTGATTAGTTTGTGTGCCAGGAGATGAAAATGGTTGAAAATCACTGTCTTACAGCATACTTTCCCTGCCCTATGCACTTATTTTATTCTGCCTTTCACACAAGACTGTGAACTCTGCATGCAGCAGCTCTGCCTTACTCGTCTTTATAGACTCCATAGAACCAAGTATATTACTTCACACAAATAGCAGCTTAATCTTTGATTAATGTGTAGAAACACAACAAAGTTACCTTTCTTCTCCTTGTCCTTCTCTTCTCAGTCTTCATTTTCTATTATATTTGAAGTTGTTCCCAGAAATAGATTGTGTAGAATAATTAATGATTGGCATATAGTTGACAAATAATGCAGATGCCATCTTGACAAAACTTATAGAAAAAGACACATATTTGGAGATAATTTTATTATTTGTATTTTACCATATGTTATATTGTGCCCAAATTCTGTTGAAAAACACTTCACCATTTTTAAATTTTTCAATGACTTTATTATTTTAGGTTGAGAATTTCTTCTGCATGGGATCCCCACTAGCAGTATTTTTGGCATTGCGTGGCATTCGCCCAGGGAACACTGGCAGTCAAGACCATATTTTGCCCAGAGAGATTTGTAACCGGTTACTAAATATTTTTCATCCGACAGATCCAGTGGTGAGTTGCACATATAGACATTTTTCTCTCAATATTAAATTGTTCCTAAAAGAATCTGTAAGAAATCTTACAAGGTACCACTGAATTAATGAGAAGGCATTCATTTATCTGATTATATTTGCATAGGTTCATATTTTTAAGATATTTGTGTTTTGGATGATGTAGGACTCAGGAAGTAAAATACCTTAGAGATGACCTGTTTATGTTACAGTATGTATAATGTAAAAATATTTCTTGATAATTAATATAAGGGACAGGAGTCTTCCATACTTTCAAACCATAACCAGTTATAACACCAATAACTTAGCAATCATAAATTTTAAGAATCCCAGTTTAACTACTTGTTCTCTAAAGCATGCTATATTAGTGAAATGTGTTTGGTAGATCACCTTAGAAATGAAAATATTTAAATATTATGTATGAAACATGAAAAAGTGGAAGAGTTTGTTTTAGCCTGGTGGAATTATAAAATTTTGTTTCTTTACATGTTCTATTATGTTTATATTGTAAATAATTTTTTAATATAAACACTCCAAGATTACAGGTTAACAGTTTAATACATCATTTTTCAGATGGAAAAAAAATGCTTCCTTAAATCCTTTGGGGGACAAGGCTAGATATAACTAAATTTAAAACAAACTATTTTAAATAGCATTCTGAAAAATGGCTTTATATAATTGTGTAAAGTCTTTTAAAAGATTGTTAGCTAGTACCAAATAAATATAACATCAACTAAACACTAGAATTTCAGAAATTTTCCCATATAATAAAGAATCAAAACTGCTATATTTAAGAAATAAATTTAACTGAACTGGCATTTAATATAAGATTTAAATACAGACTGCCCAGTCTTGGCCAAGTCACTTCAGAAACTGATCCTTCTCTATATGATGCAGATGATAATACCTCATAGGGTTGTTAGGATTAAGTGTTATATATGTGGAAATGTCTAGCTAGATGTTCAGTATTTCATTAATATATATTCATTTTACTCATTCTTTTTATTACTTGAGAGTGAACTTGAGTTCATAGGCGAACTCTGAGCTTTCAGTGTCCTTTGTGTGATGTTAAAGTTTGCTATATTATAAAGGAGTGTTCCAAACTCATTTCATTAATATAAATTATTTTTATATTTCATTTTATAATTTTTGGTTTTTTTAAAGTATTGCTTTTTTAATGTTTATGTCAGAATTGTGCTAGGCAGTTTTTACAAATGTTATCTGTTCTTTCCAACATCCTTGTGAGGTAGGAAGTGTTATCTCCTTTCTACAGCTCAGGAAACAGGGCTCTGAGACCTTGTGACTTGGTGTCATGCAGGTCATACGTGACAGGCTAGAATGTGACACCAGATCCATTGCCATTTCTGCTGTATCATCTCCACTTCACATTAGACAGTCTTCTATTGGCATCTGATTTGTGTGTTACTGTGTTAATCTATTTGAAAGTAGAGTTTACTAAGTGCTTCTAAGATAATAATTGACCTTATTTGTTGTGTTCCAGTTTACTCTTTACTGCATCAGCTTTGTTTGTGAGACAAATATAAATGTTAGATGGTACCAATTTATTTCTCTGAAAGACTAATTAATGGGTACTGTTAGCCTAGACTAACTCTAATTATTTTTTTCATAGTCCCATCATTAAGGAAATATTAGACCAACTACATATTATTAAGAGTGAACAAATAGGAATACATGTTAGAAATATCAGGTTTTTTAAAACTCCCAAAGGCCTGCTGAGCATGCAATGGAATAAGAATAAACAGAGTTTACTAAAATCTGAGCCTTCATGTTGTGTTTCTTTGAATTTTTTTTTTAATCAAGGCTTATAGATTAGAACCGTTAATACTGAAACACTACAGCAACATTTCACCTGTCCAGATCCACTGGTATAATACTTCCAATCCTCTACCTTATGAGCATATGAAGCCGAGCTTTCTCCACCCATCCAAAGAACCTACCTCAGTTTCAGAGAATGAAGGAATTTCAACAATACCAAGCCCTGTGACCTCACCAGTCTTGTCTCGCCGACACTATGGAGAATCTATAACAAATATAGGCAAAGCAAGCATACTAGGTAATTTCTCATCAGTATCCCTTATCATGACTGTAAGTACTTTTTATCCAGGCATTAAATTTGGGGTATTTGGAAATATTCTATGTATTACAAACCAACAGTTAATCCCCATGTTTAGAATGAACTACTCTCTCACTGTTCATAGTTGAGAGCCAAAAGCCCTGAAGTTCTTTAATTAGATCAGATCCTGTAGTTTTAGATTATGAGATAGCTGGATGCACAAGCAAAGGACTGGGAATCAAGTCCCTCATTTTAATTCGGCCCTACCACTTCCTGTGAGATCTTGGATAAGTCGCATAAATTTTAATGCTTCCTCATCTGTGCAATGAAGAGGTACTTGAGTTCTAAGGGTGCCCCAGCCATCTAGTTCTCTGATCCATGTCCCTCAACTGTGTCCTTCCTGAGGGCAACAAGGATATTTAATTTGTCTCTGAATGCTCTCCAGTACCAGCCACAATGTTCGGCATAGCGCTGGAGCTCAGTTATGTGCCACTTGAATTTGTCCATTGCTTTTGATTACAAGTTGCCTTAATATAAAATGCCACAAGGTGGCACTATAAATAGGCTTCACATGCTGGTTTAATTGTTACGTCACCTCATCATACAGATTGTTTATTGATAACTTTTTGTAACATATCTACTTAACTTCAGTATTGAGGATATCAACAGTAAATAAATGCCCATGTCATTGGCATGGTTCTTAAAGTTTTTAATCTTACCAAAGTCTTTAATAAATAATGATCACATGAATAAAATAGAATCTTTATTTCTTTGTAAGCTATATTCCTAGAGTTTGTACACTTGTCATTCTGTTCAATACCATTTTTACTTAGAAACCTAAAATATAAATTGTAACTTTTTTATGTTTCCACACTGGAAAAACATGACTAGGGCTTGGTCCCTCTGCCAATTGGCTGTAATTATGGGTGGTGCTCTGTAGCTTGCTATGTGGTGTAATTCAGCAGAATGACTGCCCTGTTTTGTGAAATGCAGGGGCTGCTAGCATTGGAAAGGGACTTGGAGGAATGTTGTTCTCAAGATTTGGACGTTCATCTACATCACAGCCATCTGAGACATCAAAAGATTCAATGGAAGATGAAAAGAAGCCAGTTGTCCCGCCTTCTACCACCACTGTGGCAACACAGACCCTTCCACACAGCAGTTCTGGCTTTCTTGATTCTGCATGTTAGTTCATACTGTTCTTTCCTTAAGTCTATACTATATCTTTTTTCAGATTGAGGGGAGCAGAGAGGATTAAGATATTAACACTAGCCGTTAACTCTAAAATCTAAAGCTTTTAAAGAAAAAATGTTTTTCTGCTGCTTATATTTTTAAGACTAATCCCAGATAAATGTGGGTTTACTCTCTGCATTGCTAAATTAATAATCAGGGCTTTGTGGCACAGGGGTCTTAAGCATCAAGCATAAAACAAATCTCTTTGAGGTAAGCATCCCCCCTGGTTTTTATTAAGTAGATTTAAAATATGGTTTTCTCAGTCTTAAAAATTCATGTAGTTGCATCACACCTATGCTGTATCTACTCTTGATACCTTTTAAAAACTGCTACGTCAAAGACATTCTGCTGCTAATTCCACTGTTCCTTTTATCCAACCTAATTATAAAACCTTCAATGCTTAGTACTGGATCCACAGCACTATCCCAGCCACCTAGTACAAAGCAGGTACTCAAGAAATGAGGGAATGAATGGATAGTTATGATGCTGGATTTGGCATTAGAATGACACTATTTAATTTTTTCCAGTGGACTTATAAGATTTAAAATCCTGAATTGTTGTGAAACACTAATACACTTAGTATATATTTACTTCCAAGGGTCTAAACTTGACCCTCACTTTTAAGTGTCCAGTAAAGTAGGACTAAAAAGTCAAGTCCTATTTTTCCATTAGCTTATATAAGGAAATGTAGGTTCTGAAACTAGCTACTTCCTTTCTGTAACTATGGGAAGAGGAAAACTTTTCTTTCTCTAAAAATTTTTAAACATTATATCAGATACTTAAAGACTTGTTTTCTTACTGGGTCTGCTGCTCTAAATGTTAAAGTGACCTGCATTCATCACCATCCATAAAACTTACTTAGGAAGTTCAGTTGCGACAGCCCTAGAGACTGGATCTTCCTCCACAGCCAACTCCACCCCAGTATTAATCATACTGGACATTTCTATTTAGACTAGTAGCAGTTTTTTAACTTATCTTTGTCAGATTCTGAGTACTGAAAATTTTATAATTGCAAGCCTTTTGAACACTGCCTAGGAAATTGATTTTAGACTTTGATATTTGTACAAATTTCATACCTTTTTATAAGAGTTCCTATACTATTGCTGACTGAAGCACTCACTTCTACTTAATATCAGGATTGTGGTTGTGAAAATATAAAATTCTGTTGTAACATGCAGATGTCAAAAGAAAACTAAACTTCTGAGGAAAAACAGTTTCAAAGAATTTTGTAAGATGGTAGGTTAAAAGTCACAGTTCCTTGTAATGTCAATGCACAGCAAAGATGCTAGCAAGTAGTGGCATGAACAAGAGAACAAAAAGAGCTGCATGGGTAGCCTGGGAGAAAGGTAATGACGCAGATGTAGGATGTGAGGGAGGAAAACTGTTTTGTAGTGCTGTTTTGTTTTGTTAACTACTTAACACAGTAATTTCAAAACGATAAGAGAGAAAGCTATTTGTTTAGGACAACAGTGAGTAGAGATGCTTTAGCTGTATTGCATCATTATATTTTGATAGCTTAACAAAATACATTTGCTCTCATTCTTACATATAAATTCTTTGTTGGTCCTCATGGTAAATTTCTTGTCATCTGTACACTCAACTGAATCTGAGCTAATCATGAATCTTGGCTACCTATATCCATCTCTAGATACAGATGTAACTGTTAAAATTGGGTGACTACTACTACAGTAGAATTCTGCCTTTTAAATCAGATCTTCGAGATTTGCCTTACTAATTCTTGGACTTGCTTCAATGATATGCTCTTCTGTGTAATCCTGATTTAAACAAATTTCTTAAGCCTTAATTACTATTTTGGCTATCTCTTGCAAATCATAAAACTTCCTTAAGTCTTTGGAATATGGATGTTGTAATTAGGTAATTCTGGCTGCTTTCCTTCTTTCTGCTCACCTTGATTACCTCAGTTCTTCTCCATAACCTATATTCTGAAGCTACCAACTCTGATTCTCTTTCTTTGAGGGTAAGATAGACACAGACTTTGAATTCATGATCAATCCAGGTTTCTCTCTTTGAAGAGCGAGTGCTGTCAGTGGTCATCAGGTTGATGCCACTAACTATTCTTCATTTCTTTATAAAAAGTCTAGACTCATTTCCAGTGGTTTTACTATTTCATTTCTTATGCTCCTCTGTGTTCATAACATGAACAGGAAAGATCTGTTTCTTTTAGCATTGTTTTGCTTCTAGATCAGAACTTAAATGAACTATATATATATTTTGGAGATATCTGGGTGTTAACAGATTATAACATTATACTTCAAAATTAATTAAGCTTACATTTTCCATGAAAGAGCTCCTCACAGAAATCAAGCTGTGTGCTTCTTTATGTGTGCTAGGTTCAATCAGCTTATTTGGGAGTATTGTTCTACTTTTGGCCACTGCATCATTGAAGGCCATTTGTAACTATTAGCCAACACTTTACAGCATCTTATGTTTTTTTTTTCACAGATTTCAGACTTCAGGAGTCGTTCTTTAATCTCCCACATCTTCTTTTTCCGGGAAATGTAATGCAGAATAAAGATAATACCCTCGGTATGGTATATGTCAGGAATAGCATCCAAAATACTATGCAAATGATCTACTTAGAGAGTCCTTCTGCTCATTGAAACATCAGATCAATTCTTCTATGAAATCAGCCTATAGACTATTCTATATGTACTTTCTTTCTGTATTTTCTAATCTTAAATGGTAATGATCCTGAAACCCAACTGTTGACTGATGACTTATGTGCTAAAATATATGATACTGCTATGAACCCCTACAAAGAAGGAACTTTTTAGAGAAGGGAGAAAAGCATAAGCCATTTTTTCTTCTCTATTGTCCTAAAGGCTTCAAAGAGGTTCACTATACTTCTCATGTACTACACTAGGTATAAAAGGTTTCACAGTGTAAAGGATTTAATCATTTCTAGTTATTTCCAATATCAGTAACACTACTACTTAGGGCTGTAGTGTGCCATACCTAATAGCTGGTTTCAGTACAAATACAGGGTGTCCCTAAAACATGTATACACACTTGAACAGCTGATAGCTCAATTTTGAAAGTGAAATGTATTTTAATAAACACTGCCTTTATAATTATTCAAAATGTATATATACATTTTGGGGGGATACCCTATATTTAATATTCTTTAGAGGGGTAGGTTTGCTTTAAAAAATTAAGTATTATTGGATTCAAGAGATGTTTTCAGTCTCAACTTTCAACAGATTCTAAATATCACGAAGAATTAATCTTAGCAGTGTGAATTATTTTTTTATCAATTCTAATTCCTTTTCTACAACTCCCTAGTTTTTCCATTTTTTTAAAAAATAGTGGATTTTGTCTTTAACAAAAGATATGTTACAGGTTTTTCTTTGAATAGGTTAACCATATCTAAATTTACAATTTCTGTATTTAATTGCTAACTTTAATATATTTTTCTTTTCCTTTTTTCTGTTTTCAAAACAACTCTTACTTGATACAGGTTTCAAACTGCTTAGTATAACAAGCTGATTTGGGTTTTTGTTTTTTCTCCCTAGCCACAGTTTGTGTTGATCTAACTCAGTGAGTTCCCCTCAAGAAATGAGCTTAAAGTGCTCACTCTGGTTTCTGCTCATGTAATTGTTAGTTACTTCCATAAAGAAATAATTCGATTTATGCATATTTAGTTGGAGAAAGGAAAATTAGTCCACTCATACATTTGCCCTGCATTCAAGCAGCCCTTATATCCACTGTCTTAAAGCCATCCCAACTACATAGCCTTTAGACCACTAATCATAACCACACCAAACTGATTCAGTTGGTAATATGTATATGGTTTCTATTTTCTCTTCCCGTGTTTATATTCATTCTTCAACTATTTATTAAATGTTTACCATGAGCTGAGATGCCAAGGTAGTCACTAGAAAAGATACCAGGATGAAACAGACTTAAGTGCCACCCATAAAGATATTAAATGCTGCTGTGGAAATTAAGTATTTTCCAGAGAGCATATACTTTAGTAGGAAAGGTAGATAACTACATAAATAATTATAATATGTGGTAGAATATGATGAGCCACACAACAGAGGTACAGGTAAAGGACTTCGTCAGTTCTAAGGAGTGAGGAAATTATTTCATCTGGAGAAATTAAAAAAGGCTTCGTGGAAGTAGAATTTAGACATGCAAAGATGAAAAACATTGCAGGGACAAGAAACTGCGTAAGCAAAAGCTCAGAGGTGGGAAGCATGGAGTATGTAAGGAACCGGAAGTCTGTTTTCTTGAGAAGCACCAAGGATGAGTGAAAGGGAGTAGTTCTGAATATGACTAGAAAAGTTTTTTAAACCAGATTGTAGAGAGTCCAACAAATCTGGCCATCTCCTGCAGGTTCTTTGTATTCAAGATTTACCCAGAGAACCTATATTTGCCCACATAGGCCATCTGTTGTCAAATTTAGGTATTTAAATAACTTTCAGGGTAGGTGAGTGTTGGGAAACTTTTTTGGCAGAAATGACAACTGATTATAAAACTCACTTTAGAGTTTTTGTTAGTTTTCTCAAGTAAGGGAGGGTTAGAGAATATTCCTAAATACAAGAACTCTGAGCATGATCTTCTTTGTTACAAATGAATCTTTCCCCAGTCATTTGGAAACACAATTTTCTTTACTGGTACTTTATTTTTCTTGGTGTCTACCTGGAGCCAAAACTAATGCAATTATGACCATAATTATTACTTACAAATCAGATAACTTTTAAGATGTATTAAGTTTCTAAAAATTTCTCTCTGGAGAAGTTAAGATGCTTCCTTTAAATAGTAGTAACCTGTTTGGTTAGTACACATTATGATACTAAGATGCTTGTTTTCTATTCACATGTTATTTTTTAATACCGTATCCACGTTGACAAGTTTAGTGCACAGAGGGATTGAATTCTTTGATGAAACACAGTACTGAGGACCCTTCACCTTCACACAGTGTGGATTGCAGACATTTTGGGGGGGGAATAGGCAGGGAAATAGGCTTATAGGCATGACTCCCTAGGAAAGAAAATAATCCATGTTTTAAAATGTATAAGCAAACTGCTAATGATTGTTAAAAGCCCCATTTTTTCCTCAGTTTTACTTCCTCAGTTTCAGCAGTTTGGGAATCTCATTCTTTGTGAATAGAAAGGTTCTAGTACTTGGGCACTGAAGAAAGAGAAAGAAGGGCAAAGTGCTGGCTCTCTGTCCTTTCTCTCTGACCTAACTCAGCGAGAGAAACTGCACAGAAACTACCAGCCTGTGTGATGCTACCATTCTTTATATGGTAATAGTAAGAAAGTAGGTTCCAGGGAACTCCATGTCGATTTGGGCCCACTTTGGCCAAGAGCACATCTCACAGCACATACATAGAGAATGGCGCTGTCCTGTGGAACCTCAGCCCCTTGGGAAATCTGTATACACAGGGGAGAGAAGAGGAGGCATAGGCCCATCTAATTCTATCCATCCACCTGCAGAGTCAACACAAGTGTGAGGTTAACCACACCAGCAGCCAGACTGCCTGGGGTAAACTGTTTAAGGAAGGTGAGAGACTAAAATAGTTTCATCAGATACAGGCTGGCTACCTAGATCCCATTTGATAGGGACCAACTAAGATAAATAGAATGGATAGGGAGGGCCAGTCAGTTAACACCTATATAATAGGGAGACGATTAGATTAGGCATTTCAGGGTCTAGTATGTGAAAGGCAGTATTGCACGACAGTAATAGCATATTAAGAATAAATTTAGGTACATAAAGCAAAGCCAAATAACACTTGTCATAACAAGAAGAATCTCACGTTTTTTTACTTTAAAACAACAATTCAACTAAAGACTGCTGAACTAGTAAGACATTCTACAGTGGCATTTGAAAGGGAATTCTTAGAAATTATTTAGTGGTCGTCACCAATATTAACGCATAGGTTTCCCATCTTTTCTGTTTCTCCGTGTTTCCCTTTTTCTTTATAACTAACTTCACCTTGACTCTTCCTCTTCATGCTGAGAATTCCAGTTTCCTCTCTTGTCATCTTCCTGTCTGTTGTACCAGAATGTACCTACAAATCTAACACAAATGTCCCATGGAATACAGAAGATAAAAGATGTAGACATTACCTCTCCACAGCTCCACATGCGGATTTCAACTGTTTCTGACTTATGGATTAGCTTATTATAATTTAAATGAGGAAAATAACAGTTTTTTAAAACCTTATAAAAAGCCTATGTCAGTATAACTTACAAATGATTTCATAACCTAATTGGTATTTTATCCTGCTGAAGTGTAAACCTTCACTTTAGATCGATCCATGGACATTTCTTGTCAGAAAAGAACATTTGAATGGAAAAGTAACAACTGTAGCCCTGGCGAGATAGCTCAGTTGGTTAGAGCTATCTTGGCGTCCCCATAGACAAGGTTGCAGGTTCAATCCCCAGTCAGGGCACATACAAGAATCAACCAATGAATGCATAAATAAGTGGGACAATAAATTGATGGGGGTTTTCTCTCCCTCCCTCCCTCCCCTTCTCTCCCTCCCTCTTCCTCTCTCTCAAAATCAATTTAAAAAATTTTTTTTAGAAAATATTAGCTAAACATTTATATGAAATTATTCTCTAGAGTGATATGGTTTCCTCCATGCAATTACCAAATTCCCAGTGTAACACAAAACCCACCTTTTTCTCCAACCTCCTAAATTTTTGCCAGTTTTTACTTTTCACATCCTCTAGCATTCTGGACAAAGAACAGCCGTTGAGTGTCAATAGTAGTGATTTGGGTGTTTTCTGTTTTGAAGATGGACCCTTCAAAATACTGACTATGGCTCCCTGACAATTTTAAAGGAGTTAGTTCCTGAAGATCAAAACATTTTTCTAAGTGTTTTTCTCTAAGGATCTATTAAATGAATCGATTGAAATTCTCCTGTAGCCTTGATTTGTTAAGGTGACTCTTCTCTAACCGGTATTGCAAGGACTTCTGTGGATTTTAGAAAATATTTTATTTTATTCACTGAATTGAGTACAGCAGTGTTATAAATTAAAGCCTTCCTCTCAAGGATCAGCACTCTTCCTGCCAGTTTAACTTTCCCAGCCACAGCAGATATTTATTGAGCATGTGTATGTTCCAGGCACATGTTAGGCCCTGCTGACTGGACAGAATCGAGGCTGCCTTGGAGGAACCCAGCCAAGTTGGGAAGAAAACACTGTGGAACTAGCGTATCCCCACAGAGCCAGTTGGGGTGTAGGGCCTCCCCAGTGAAGGGGCCTTTGTGACCTGTTGCACTCCCACAGGCATTATTGCATGTAAGTCTGGTCCAAAATTCTGCAGCAGGGCTGCTTTCCTTATTTTGCAGATTAGGCACAAATTTTAAATGGAAAAGTCAGCATTTGAGCCTAGTTTCTTTACCCCAAACATGCTCTGTGATGCCAGGTGATTTTTTTATTTTGTTCCATTATTATTCCATATTAACCTGGGCATACAAAGAAAGGACTCACCAAATAGAATCCCAAGGTAATAAGGTTCTTTTGAGTGTTTTCCCATACAATTAGACTGGAAAGTCACTTTAAAATATATATACAAATGTATCATTGAGTCACTTCTATTAGCTAAATTTTTATCCTAAATTCTGGTTAAGTCTATATAGAACCTATCTCATTGTAATATTTATTCATTTGTTTGATTTCTTGTTTTTTCTTTCATTAGTGGAACTGGATCACAGAATTGACTTTGAACTCAGAGAAGGACTCGTGGAGAGCCGCTACTGGTCAGCTGTCACGTCGCATACTGCCTACTGGTCATCCTTGGATGTTGCCCTCTTTCTGTTAACCTTCATGTACAAACATGAGCACGATGATAGTGCGAAATCCAGTTTAGATCCAATTTGAACTCTTGAAGGACATTAATGGCCCAATACTGATTTTTTTTCTGTTAAAATATGTGTGTCAAGATATAGAGATTTCACATTTAAGTATGTTTCAGTTTTGTTTAGAGCAAGAAATATTTGAATTTAAAAGCACTTTATTTTATTTAAAAACAAAACTTTTTTCAGTCCAAAAGAAGTTATTTAGTTTTCATCATTTTAATTATGAATCTGATAGAACCCCCTGCAGAGAATCAAGCAAGTCCTAGAAGTAAGGAACATTTGGGTGAACTGCAAGGTTATAAATCACATCTAATTTTCCCAAACAGAAAGGCATATTAATGCGCTGAATCTAATGTATTAACCAAAATATGTTATAAATCTAAAATGGCCAGGATCTAGTGTATTCTGTGTAAAGATCACAAGATGGTATCATTGTTTTCGATTTCTATGAAAGCTTCCATTTCTATAGTTCTTTGAAAGAGTATAACAGATCTGATGTTTTGAATTTAACTTCTTTAGCAAAACTAATGCTGAAAAAGAAACAATATTTGGACTACTGTATTTATAATTTATTATTTCTGACAAATTGCTCTGTTTCAGTGTGTGCAACATTACTTTTTTTAATGTTTTCTTTGAACAATTTGAGAACCACATTTTTTTTCTATAGTGTTAAGACCCTTTTTTTTCAGAACTTCATCTTTGTACTCTTCAGATGAATATAGACACTGTGGCATACTTTGAGTTTTTTTTTTTTTCATTAAAAACTTGTAGTTTCACACAGATAACACTAGTTGAATTATTTTGAGGGGAAAAAATGAACTTTTTATTATGTCACATGTACCTCAGAGGAAGCTGAAGTTTTCTAAACTTAACAGAGTACGCCATAATGAGTACATTTCATTAACTTTATTGGGAAATTCAGTAAACTTCTTTGGAGCCAGGAGTATGACAACTGTTTTAAATATATAAACATCTATGTGCCAAACAACATATATAAAGGGATGGCGTGCCACTAACAGGTTTTATTTTAAAAGTGTTTAAGAAAACATGATTGAGACATAAGGCACAATAGATAGGATTCCAAGGCATTAGAAGAGTTTTCCTCAGCTGTAATTTTTTCCACAGTGCTTTTCATCTGAGGAGCTCAAAGTGCTTTAAGATTCAATATTTTATGTAGTAGCTTCTTGAGGTAAGTAAATGAGTGTTATTCTTATGTTCCATGTTAATACACTAAGGCACCAAAACATTTAAAGTGCCTTGAATTAGATTACAGAGCAAATCAGAAGAGCTCAGATTGAAGCCAGAACGTATTCTTTTATATTGGTGACTAATAATTCACATGTTACCTCTTAGTAGTTTGTAAACAATAATAATAACAGAAGTTGCGATTCATAATTTGGAGAAATGACTGCGAAGCCAATATTTTACTCTGCTTGTCTTACACGTTCTCGGGTTCTCACAAAGGAAGAGTTACCTAGAGGGGATCAGTAGCCATCTCTGCCCCGACCAACCCTCACTTCTGAGTGGCTTCCACTAGGTTCCACTTAAGGTGCTGTCTTCCGTTATCGTACAAGGATCTTTCTTAGCTTCCAGTAACCATCAGACTGGGTGCACAGTTGGCCAGTTGTACATCTCACCCCCTTTCTTTATAAGACAGTGGGATCTGTGGCTTACCTGCAGGTTTTACCAGCACCATCAGTCCTGTTGTCTATTTTGGCCTTTCATTGAATTTGCACAACATAGAACACTCCTTTTTAGTGTTTAAAAAGATTCCAAGGCTCCATGATCAAATGTGTGACTAAGAAACCCTTGCTATAAAAGGCTTTTGATGAGATCTTAACAAAGCTGAAGTAATCTCTCATTTGAATTTAGAGATTCCCCCGAGCTCAGGTCATTTTCATACCGTGTTTATTTCTTAGGTCTAATTTAGTTCTCAGGAAAATTAAACTCATCTCATATGACTGTTTAAATGCACTTGAGCATACGTTGCTGTGGGTGGTATGACTCTCAAATGCCTAAGAGCTTAAGGAATTCATTCTTAACCACTAGAATGTAGAAAGCCCTTTTTACCTGAGAAGAAAGCCTATCAGTCCGTTACATTTAATATGGAGTAAAAAGAAAATTCTATTCCCATAACCATAAGAACACATCTGCTTCTCTTTTTTCATACTGAGAAAAAAAATCAAGTTTAACCACATGGGATTTGAGTTCTTAAGAGCAGCACTCACATCCCCCTTTTCAAAGTGAGATAGTGCAGATTACTGGGCAGGTGTTGGCGTCGATTCATTACTTCATCACTGGAAGTGGCAGTTCTGATTTTACGGTACTCTTCTTGTCCCCATGTCTGCATGTTATCATGGAATGTACTTGTATAGACTCCATAATATACAGAGTATGTGTAATTCTGGCTTGATTTAGGAGCTAAGTCCGTTACTGAGTAACATTTACAACTTTATTCCAGCAAGTACTAAATTGGCCAAAAAGGTTTGTTTTTGATACCATTAAAATTTTATTCTCTATTTTGTGTTCATGCTATGATGATTCTTCTGAGTATTGGTCAGATTCTTCCATTTTAATCCAGTCAGTTTCCCCAAAGTTATTTAAACTTAAAATAAGGAGAATGTTTTGGATTAAATCTTGCTTTATTTTTACTTTAAAATTAGCTTTTGCTAAAGCTTTTTGTTCACAACTTTATTTTCAATAGTAATTACACTTATGTGATAATCCAGTGTTACTGTGTTTTATAACATAATTATAAAATGTACTGTTTCCGGAAAGTACTCCTTTATGTGTGAAGCAAGCTGTAGGAATCTTTTGTTTCATTTCTTTCTATCAAACTGCACCTGTCAGCCCTTGAAAATTCTCTCACTGAACATGTTCTATGGAAGCCCTCAGGCAGTGGGGTGTAAACGTTCATGCCCATTCTCTCCCTCACTGTATTTCTGTTAAGTCCTGAAGCATCCTGCTCTACAAGCATTGATTTAACACACCACATCCCAGCTTTGGGTTCCCACGAAGAGGAGACAGGAAAAGAAAAGCCATCAGTGCAGTGCCCCAGCCAGTGCCACCAGGCACTGCGATGGAGCCAGACCCCTCCTAGGGGTTTCATGGTAAGGCCTGTGATAGAGGGAAGATTGTTGAATTGCTTTCTGATTAGTTAGGTTGGTTACTATTTCTTTTTGGTTACTAATAAGGCATTGGGACAATTGAGGAAACTAATTTGAGTGTATCTTACTATTGTTTTTTAATCTTCTGTTAGCATGGAAATAGGGGTAAAGAAGAAGCACGATGTTAAAGAAGGTCAGGGCAGAGGTAAAAAAAGGACGTGACACTCAGACAATGGAGAAAGAACTAGAATTTGACTAAACTGAGTGTTGAATAGTTGACTTCTGCGGTTAGTCTCAAATTGTCTCTTATCCTTACTCTGCTGCCATCGCTGGGCCTCAGCCTCTGCCAGCAATGGGATGGTACTCTGGCTGAATTGGAAACATATGTATTAAATATTTTTGTGGTTAGGTGTGGGCAGTACATCTAGGCCCCTAACATTTTACTATCATTTACCTGCAAAGAACACATTTGGCAGGAAGCATCCCCATTGAACTCTTAACTCTGTTACCTCTAGGATGGGTCTAGGGAACTCCCACACTGTCTCCCTCATTCCTCCTTTTGCATTAGGGGAGAAGGAAATCGCCAAGGAAATGTTTATAGTATTGACCTTAGAGTAGTATACAGAATGGCAGGATATAGAATTTCATCTCAGAAGTCTCATTTAGCGAACATTAGTGCTGGGATGGGAACAGCTGGGTTATGTATGTCCTGTTTCATACTTTAGTGGATGTTTGTGATCATTTTCAAAAAACTCTTCAAATTTTAGTGTTTGTACAAATTTTAGAGGTCATTTAGTCCAACCCTGTTTTAGTTTCACACGAGCATTTAAATAGCGTGAAGGTCATGGAGAGGAAAGTGAATGGGCAGTATGTTAGGTTCAGCCCAGAGATTCAGTGTGAGACTACACAGCAGAAGAGGAGGGAAGAGGTGGCATCTCTAAGGAAGAGTATCATTAACAGCAGAATTCGAGAGCGGGGAGGGCTACAGAGATCATTTTCCAAAGCTTGGTCTGCAGATGTTAACAGATGTCCCCTCAGAAAATAAGTTGGGAAATGTCGAATTGAAGATTTCTTTATGGCAAGGCTTTGGGAGCCTTTGATACACTAAATGCAGTGTGAATCTACCTGGTACTTTGGGGGGTGGAGGAAGGGGAGTTTTTCTAAGCTTATTTAACCAGGCCTTTTTAAAATTGGAATATACTTAGAGAAATGCTGGTAACATTTAATTCCTTTGTTTTACGGAGATTCATCCCTTCTTGTGATTACTTCATTTGACAAGTGACCGCTCCCACCCTGTAAGATCACACGGCCAGCCAAAGACAGAGTCAGAATGAGAACATAGTCCCAGTTCCCGACTATGTCGAAGACCACACTGCCTGTTGCCTTCCTTCTCCCGATAGGTAGGGAATCCTGAAGGGAGAAACTGCCTCTGTTTTCTGTGCCTCCTCCCCATGCCCCCAGCCCTCTTTGTAACCTGATGCTTCAGGTGCTACAAACTCAAAATACCTCTGGGCTTCAGTACCCCCGGGGGTCCCCTTTGTTCCCTGACCCTTTTGAAAAAAGTGCCCTACCTGGTCCAGACAGATTTTCTTTCATGTCTCAGATTCAGAATACTCAGGAAGATGAAAAGCAAAAGGACGAAAAAATTTTAGAACAAAAGACCCAGGAAATATTTTGCTGGTTTTTCATTCTGGTGACAAACAAACTTGTTAGGGAAACAAGTTGCACAGTGTCAAATGTTTAATATTCTTTTCCTAGTCTTTATATGTAGCCTTTTATCAATTCATTACAAGCTGGTCCCTTTTAAAACAGTTTCAACATAGGTTAACTAATAGAAATTTTAAAATGTAAGTACTATAGGTTTTGGAGAATAGGAGAAAAGGTTTTGCTGCTGCTGTTGGGGTGTGTATGTGTGTGTGCGTGTGTGTGCGCGTTCCCCAAAAATAGTCTCTTGGCAAATCACTAGCATGAACTTTTCCTCTGCCTTTGTGTTTGACGAGGGGTGGGAGTGTGCTTAGTATTGTCTGTTACCTTATGTTTTTTCATTTATACTTAACAGAGTGCAACTTGCTTCCTCCCCACCCTACAGTGGTCAGGATATGTTGGAGAGCTATTCTTTAGAAATTTACATCTGGTCTTCTGTTGGAGTAAGATGAAAAACAAGTATATTAATACTTCACCTTTAACACTTTCTCCTGGAAGACGTCAGATATCTGTGAGCATCATTCATGCCTTCCCTTGACTGCACCCACACCCCTATCACCTCTGCTTGATCTCTGAAAATAGTTGATTTCCTGAGAGCTTCGTGTTAGAAAGGTGTAACCACTTTCTGGTTCTAAGGCTGTCATAATAAATACAAACTCTGCCAGTGAGAGCTGGGGAGTTTTGCTTTTGGCTCTTAGGTACATTTCTCAGAAGCTGCTGGCACTGTGACTCTCCTGGGACCCTTAAGCTGTTTTCTCAGCTTCTGTGACCTTTTCTTATGTTCACTCTCCTTAACAGTACTAAACGCTGTCAGTGACTGTGGGAACACTAAGAAAATGGCCTTTTTCTTTTTCCTTTCCTTTGTTACTTTTCATCTTGTTTTGTTTTTTTCAATTTTTTTAAATGTTTTTATTGATTTTTAGAGAGAGGAAGGGAGAGGGAGAAAGAAACATCCATTGGCTGCCTCCTGC